GATCCGTAATGCTGAACTTGCTTGGCCTCTCTGCGGCAGTACCCCTTTCATGTGCTCAATCCCACCTCCTGAATGTATACTGTAGACAGAGGAATGGCATGTCTACCAGCTAACTCTTTTGCATTAGTCAAACCCCTTTCAAAATCATTAGAACCAGCTTTCTTTTCTCTTCTGCTGTCAAATCTGCCATGTCAACAAAGGAAGCCGTCTGCTACACCAAGGGAGTTAACTCTTGATGTAGTTAAGGATCATTCTTAAGCCTACAAGAGTTCCCTCCCATATTGAGTACCTTATTACATAATGTAATGCCTCTTTTAAAATCTATTATCAGTATAAGGAATCAAAGATTTTCTCAATAATTTCTGGGAAAACTGTAGTGTGCGCTCTTGGGCAGTCAAACTAGTTCACGACGTTATTTTACGTGCCATTTTGACTTTTGGAGAAAAGACAATTTTTTATTTTGTTTTTTTTTTTTTTTTTTTTTTTTTTTTTTTGGGGTTTAATTGATATTTTAATCCTGAATCCCTGTAACAGATAGGGACAAATGAACCAGGGAATTCCTCTCCCTCTTGGAGAATAAAAAAACATGGTGAAGGATTTAACAAGATAAAACTGTCACACACACATGCATACCAAATGACACACAGTATAAACACACAATACAAAGGATCCACAAGAATCGTGATAAGCTGCTGGTTTCAATATACAGGTACATATCAAGCAAAGCTAAGATATGTTTTTTTCACAACTTTCATTCACACTTGACCAAGAAATATGGTTAATATACCAACCATCATAATATAATAGTATAAAGGATGGACATGGCTGGACTCATCGTGAAAAGAAAAGAAGATTCAGTACCCTGAAATCAGTTAACCTCGGGTCTAGAAACAATGAGTGGTAGGACATCCACTGCGAAAAGAAAATTGATACCCTGGTCATTTTAGCTGACAGGCTATTGTGTATTGTGTTCCTATTAAAAGTGCGGCCAGTTGTGATAAATTCGTAGTAAAACGAGGTCGTGAAATACTTCCCGTGCGATGTATAGTCTCTATCGAAAGGTAATTGAGAAATATTTACACTTAAACCATTACCTCCGTGGTTCATCACTACACATGAGTGCATTAACACGTCTGGGGAAACGGCGGAATGAATAAACATGAATCTGCTCTGGAGCGGGATATCGCAGGCATTACAGCCACTCTGACGCAAGCAATAGTTCCATAGTATCGACTATAATTGGAGTTACGGTTTCATCTTTAGATTATTGAAAAAAGAAACAAATGAATATACTAAATAGACGTTGGGATGGTTACAACAGATAATATTTCAAACTGTAAAAGAATTCCTCCCCCTGATTTTCACATGTCACCTGGTGCAAGACATGCTGCAGTCAAGATGAAGGACTGTAATGTACACATTTAATCTCTGGAATAAGGAGATCGGTCTACTCCCATTTGTGAGAACTCCCAGTTGTGAGACTCCCAGTTGTGAGACAGTGGTGTAGGTAAATAGCAAAGAAAACACACCTTACTCCCCTATCTGATAGAATGGATTAACCCCAGCTAATTATGGATTAGCTATTTAACTGAATCTTGTGGAGGTAACTTAATGAAACTCTAAAAGATAAAGTAATTAACCTACTCAGATAAATGGCTTTAAAAAATAAACACTTTGTGTAGGTAACTTCGTGATCATTTGAAAGAGAAATTAATTTACCTACACAGATTTACGTGTTTGAAAAATCTAGCAATAACTGTTGTAAATATATTTAATCCAAATCTATTTATTAACCTTTGACTGCTCTTTCCGATCACCATTATGACAGGCCTTTAACAAGTAGAATATATCACCAGTTCAAGATAATCTTTTTCAGTATTTCAGTATCTATTGAAAACAATAAATGCTCTTCAACGAACGATGTCTTCTATGTTAATTAACTCATTAATGAACTATGCCTCCTGCGGGTACTCTTGAGCAACAGGGCTGTTCCCACTTTCATCGTAGGGATGGGGAAGCACCACCTGTGTGCACTGAACCATTAATTAATGTGTCTCACAACTGGGAGTTCTCACAAATGGGAGGACACCAGGAGATCGATACACACATATGCATGTGTCACAGGTTAGATTAACGTCAGCAACAGATAAATAAAATAAGACAAGATGTATTTTATTTACGTGTCACCAAGTGTAGATAAAATACAAGCCAGATATGAGATACAGAATAACAGATAATATTTCATACTGTAAAACAATTCCTCGCTACATGGTGCAAGATTGGTTTGTTGGTTGGTTGTTTAACGCTGCACCCAGCAATATTCCAGTTATATGGCAGCGGTCTGTATATAATCGAGTCTGGACCAGACAATCCAGTGATCAACATCATGAGCATCTACACAATTGGGATGCGACGACATGTGTAATCTCGTTAGTCGCCTCTTACGACAAGCATGGGTTGTTGAGGACAAATTGTAACCCGGATCAATACGGGTAAATCAACCATTTAAATATCTGCATTAAGAGTTAACTTGATGTTGTCCTCATCGGTCTACATTAATAAAGACACATAAATGAACAGAGCCAGACTTACCGAATTGGTTGATTTCATGTCATTCTGTTAGTTATAATGCATAGACCTATGCTAGTGATTATTAACAAACCATAATAATACAGTTCATGAATTACTGCGGAATTTGGAGAATATTGCTAAGACCTAGTCCCGGATCTTCACGTGTTATCTAGTGCAAGATACGTCGCTGGCAAGATGAACTACTGCAATACATATTTAATCGCTAGAATAAGGAGATCGATACACACATGTGTCACAGGCTGGATTGACGACAGCAATAAATAGATAATATAACAGAAGATATATTTTATTTACATGTCACCACGTGTAGATAAAATATACTTAAGGATATGAGATACCGAATAAAATACTTTTCAGCCATTATTGACTTATGAGACACGATAAAATCCTTAAAATAAATGTATGTGAGAATATTTGGTACATTTGTTTAGTTTTCATACATGAAAACAAATTCCATACATAAAAATAAGCATAAAACATATTGCCCTCCCTAAGTATCCGCGGTAATATAAATTTAATTGGACAGTTGAAAGTGCAAAGAACATGCTGTAGTATGTGGTGGTGTGTGGTCCTGTCCGTAGAGCTCAGGGCCTAGATTTTCGAAGCTCTCTTAGCGCTAAGATAGTCGTAAGTTAATGTTAATGTATGGCACTTACGACTATCTTAGCGCTAAGAGAGCTTCGAAAATCTAGGCCCAGGCTATCTATTCTCGAAACGTTCGTAACGCTACGAACTTCTTAAGCCCATTCTTAACACATTGGTTACGATCATTCTTTAACATTGCACGAAGGTTACCTTAGTGACTTACGATCACCTGATTACAGCGTCAAGTGAGCAGCTAGTCAGATGGATACTAGGCGCTATGTAAATGAATTATTATTATATTATTGTTATGTTAGTTATGCCGTTGTCTTCGTGTAAATGAAGATTTAACGCATGCGGCTTATGGGTGGCAGGAACAAAGGTTAATTGGTTAGTGGCTGAATATCGGGATTCCAATAGTTATGCCAAATAAACGTACCGTGAGGTTTCCGTAACAGAGGAAAGATACACATTACATACTCTATTATCTAAAGGAGGTTTCGGTCGAGAGTAGCGGCCTATTTCTACTTTGAGAGGGAGTCTTAGTACACTACACATTACGTTTAGATCTACCAGTTTTACGCCGCTTTTAGCAATGTTTCAGTAATATCACGGCGGGTGACACCAGAAATTGGTTCAATCAAGTGTTTAACTATATTGGTCTCATAAATGGTGAGAAAACTGAAAGCATATAGATTAGTTTTTCCGACGATATACTTGCTGCTACTCGTTGTGCGAAGCCCATTTCTGGTGTCCCCTGCCATGATGTTGCTGGAATATTGCTAAAAGCGGCGTAAAACTAAATTCACTCATTCGTTAAACTCTTTCTGGGGATGATTTCCACTGTTTTCAAATAATGTCATGTGTATTGTTGTGCAAAGAATTAAAAATCTTCAGTCAAATTTCTGCGCAAAATGGATTGTTTAGATATATATCTTGCTGGTAACAAATCAAGACATGCTTACCAGCTGGATTAATTTATAGCACACATTACTCATTACACATATTATGATAGGGACAACCTGTGCTCTAGTGTCTCATGTAGATGATGTGGATTGATTACACGCAGCATCGGTAACAGCACGTAAATGATAAGAGTCAAATTCCCCTTCAATATTATTACACAAAATAACAGTAATTTCCCCATTATAAGAACAGTGTTCTTATCGGTTCTATTTGCATCACCTTCAATAACCTCCCTTCGGTAATTACCCTGTCTTCACAATATCCAACTTTCCAATAGACGAGAAGTTTAAAGTTTATATTTGTCTAGCTAACGTTTGCTGCTCTCGCTTCATATAAGAAAGTTTATACTTTAAAAGAATTACACATATACACGCATGTTAGAGACTGCAATGCACTAAGTGGATATCTGTATATGAGTTCCATAAGTGATATTAGTTATGTCGTTATTTCTGTCTACCCATTTCAAGTTTGCCATTCTTCTTTAAATGTTCTACTTAGGATACAGTGCAAACTAAATATGATTTTATTTTAAAAACTAAAACTATTCATAAGAGATGTATTTAGATGAAGTCAAAGAGTATGCTGTAATCCAATTCATGCATATGAATATTTCATTTTGTACTGATTATACATGCGTTACATCATGCAGTAGTTTACGTTAGAGCCTACGACTCACCTAACACCCCCCCACACACACACACACACACACCTCCCACCACCCTCACCCACTGACAACCCCAACCCCTCTTCCTACCACCCCAGGGTACCCAACCGAGCATCCCAATTCAGATGCATAATGATATAATGTGTGTAATAACTGTATCCGTAATTAATGAGGGGATGAGGTAAGAACAGCTGAGATGCGGGCTGCCACATGGGCACCCCACGTGCACGGCAGGGTCAAGGTAGGTATATATACACACGCCAGTAGAAGCAGACAGTATACCGACATTCTCCAGGCAGCACACACTCAAGCATCATGGTAAGTATAGATTATACTACAGTTCTTTAATGTTACAATTTGAATTAATGGTAATTATGATGATCAACAAGCGTGAAGTTGACAGTTCCTCCAGTCAAGTTTATATTAAAAGGTTCAAATACGTTGAAATATACATGTTAAATTGCAACCTAGACAATCGAGCGTATCGATAAACAAAGTGGTGACAATACTGTTAAGTATTATTTTTTCCATTTAATTTAATATTTCACCGTGTTTCAAACATCATTCGGGCTACCTTACTTAAGGATTACACGGTCAAGATGCTCAAAATGTGTTCACTGTATTTTATACATTATCGGAATACAGAACCTTCTGTCGATATCAGTCCTTAATGTACATATGCTGTGATCAGGCAAATATCGTTCGCAGAGCAGATTTAAGATACACAATTTTCTATGTGATCATAATACAACACTCGGGCAGTCAAGATTGTCTTTGTTCCATGTATGCTCTTCAACAGATCCGCGCAGAGCATGGGGATCGGATTTGGGTTGGAGTTGCTGATTATAATTTTATTGTTCCCATGTGTTAAACGTTTATCAACCAGCCAAGACGTTTGATAGTTCTCTCTGCTGATTGAATGGCTACACACGTTTCATGATTGCTTTGGTACTAAAATAAGTACGTTTTTGATGTATGGTTTAATATCCTGTCTGGAATGTGCAATTTTATCCTGTCTGGAATGTGCAATTTCTACACTTTGGTAAGCAGCACAGAAACCCAAGGCTGTCGATGTTGTGTTTCATTATACATGTTTTGAGATTCCTTTAACGTGTAAACTTAAGACTGACTGACTGAGTTTGGTTTTACGCCGCTTTTAGCAATATTCCAGCAACATCACGGCGGGGGACACCAGAAATGGGCTTCACACATTGTACCCATGTGGGGATTCGAACCCGGGTTTTCGGCGTGACGAGCCAACGCTTTAACCACTAGGCTACCCCACTGCCCCGTGTAAACTTAAGAAGATAGAATGAGTTAATTTTCATGAAGGAATGTACAATTTCTAGTGTTATCTTGACATAGTCCATAATTGTGCATACAAAACATAGTTGACACTGGCTTGGGCTCTTTCTTCCATTAGTTTAGTAAGTCAGAATGAGAGCGATCTGGGTATTATATACAGTATTCCAGTTCAATCACGCCTTGTCAGCGTAAGATTGGAAGAAAGTCTGAAATGATGCAGGTTTTAGATTTTTACCACATTGATGAAAGGGACGAATGATGCTGACAATCCCGGAAACATAATCGGGATTAACCGGGAATTGGACAAAGAACATAGGTTTCTGACATGCCCAGGGGAAGCAACTCTGCACGGCGAATTGCGGCGTCTGAGTTGACTGGGTTGTCAGTGCACCTGCACTACGTTCGACACATACAGCTCACAGCTCACATTCATGTCTACCGCCCTCCACCCAAACTGTGGAATTTATGCAAAGTTGAAAACTGCGGGTTTTCGTTGTTAGTTAATTAAGGCACTTGTGCGTATGAATATAGCCCTGAAACCATGATGGTTTCTTAGGATCAACCAGAACCCGGATGTTGGCATACATATGTAGTATTTCAATTGTTATACATTCGTTTTCCTTTTTTCCCAACTAAATAAATATAAAAGCTACAAAACAAATTGATATATGTTTTCAGGCATCCAAGACAGCTAAACCAACAAAGCCCACAAAGGCTGCAACTCCACAAATCAAATTGTCCAAGGACGAGATTGAAGAAGTCACAGAGGTGTTCGACCTTTTCGATTTCTGGGATGGTCGTGATGGCGCAGTCGACGCTGCCAAGACCGGCGACATGTTGTACTGTCTGGGCCTCAACCCTACCATGACCACCATCATGAAGAACGGAGGTGTGGAGAAGTTTGGAGAGAAGAACTACAAACTGGAGGAGTTCCTACCCATCTACCAGACCGTCATGCAGATCAAGGACACAGGCACCTACGCCGACTTCATGGAGGCTTTCAAGACATTCGACAGAGAGGGCCAGGGTTTCATCTCATCTGCTGAGTTGAGGCACGTTCTGACATCCCTGGGAGACCGACTGACCGACACCCAGATGGACGACATCATGAAGTGCACCGACTTGAGAGAGGATCTGGAGGGCAACGTCAAGTACGAGGACTTCATCTCCAAGGTCATGGCCGGACCTCTCGCATAATCGCACTGTAAATCTGATGTAATTTATTGTGTGTGCAATTGACTTGATCATTGGTATTTTATGGAAAAAAACATTGATTTTATTAAAATACGTCGTAAAAGGTTTAAGTTTAAAAATAAGTTTCCAACACACCATTCATTATCATTATCTGAAATTATACATCATTTTCTCGTTTCGCTCTTCATATGAAAGCCGGTAATAATTATACTCACCAGCTTTACATCTCATAATGTATATCGTTTTAATTGTAATAATATGGTGCATTGCAATCTCTGTCAGATTAAATGGTGAATACTAATTTAGTTTTATGAGCATCACAGACGCTGGGTATTAAACTGCTTCAAGAATAAATTTATTCGAACTTAAACTGTTGACATTTATCATTTCCCATAGTTATTGTTTGATGCATACTTAGCTCAATCCACGTGCAACCAAAGGATGTCTTTCTCGCCTCTGAAATGTGTTTACACCGAGGAATGCATGTATAAACTTTCAATTCATGTTTGTGTACATCATGTAACTTTTCTCAAATTGTGTTTATACAACACAATCCGATTTCTGGGATCATTTCTAATGGAAACTACATTCAGGAACATAACACGTACATGGCTGTGTAAAGGGTGGATATAATTCCTGCTTTGATAGTATTCTAGTTATATCAGGATGTGTCAACTTTGTTAGGAAAAAAAGACCGAATCAATGCAGGTGTTGGACTTTGCCACTCTGCTGCATCCGAAATTCCGTGAATGATATGCTTCCCAAACTTAAAACCTGATGCGTGTTTCAATGAAATGGAGTGAGTGAGTGTGTTTAGATTTACGCCGTACTCAGCAATATTCCAGCTATATGGCGGCGGTCTGTAAATAATCAAGTCTGGACCAGACAACCCAGTGATCAACAGCATGAGCATCGATCTTCGCAATTAGGAACCGATGACATGTGTCAGCCAAGCCAGCGAGCCTGACCACCCGATCCCGTTAGTCGCCTCTTACGACAAGCATGGGTTACTGAAGATCAATATTCTAACCTGGACCTTCACGGGTATTCAGTGAAATGGACTTTGGGGTGAGTGAGTATAGTTTAACGCCGCTTTTAGCAACATTCCAGCAATACCACGGCGAGGTACACAAGACATGGGCTTCAAACAATGTACCAACGTAGCCATTCGAACCGGGGTTTTCGGCGTGACTAAGTCGCTTACCACAGCCACTATAGTCTGTTTGCAGTGAAAACGTACCGATGAATTTCGCTTTAAACAAAAAAGTAAATCAAATAAAGTGAAATTAAGATTGCGAATCCTCTTGATTTTACCTTGCCAATTGAACATTTAAATATCGGAATTTTATTCATCTTAGGATAAAAGTTGTTTAACAAACGATCATAGATTCAAATCGCTATTATTGGTTTGTATTACAAGGGGGTAAGCGTAGTAGTTGGAACAGTGAAACAAATGCACGTGCGGTCCGTGATGAGCGTTAACTTAGACCAACCATACTTGTTCTATGTGTTTCATCTAATGTGCATACCCCCTTGTAATACAATCCAATAATAGCGGTTTGAAACCATGATCGTTTGTATATTAATGTCAAAGAGCACATTGTATCATACATATAGGTATATAGACCCTACCCTAGTACTATATATAGTACTAGGGTAGGGTCTATATATCTATATGTCTTTCTAACGCTGGTTCTAGTACTAGGGTAGGGTCTATATACCTATATGTCTTTCTAACGCTGGTTCTAAGCGTTACACGCCCCTTTGCTTCAAACATTGTAACCACCTTCCCGGGTGAATCCAAGCAGTGTGCGAAATAGTTTCCAAAGTCTGCTTGTCAGTCGAGACAGTTATGCCTGAAAGTTACTAGCCCACAAAATAATTCACTAGCCCGAAATTTGAATGTGGACACGGGTTTCATCATTAAGCTGCTAATATATTGAACATTCTGTAAGGCCATAAACTTGCATGATTAAGAAGTGTATTATAACTTAACAAGTGGAGAGAAGTGATATACATGTATTTACAAAATGACCATGAAAATTCACTAGCCAATCAGGCTAGTGACTGTAGACATTTACTGACCCTACTAGATTTTTACTAGCCTCAGGCTAGCGGGCCATTGGCTATTTCGCACACTGAGTCCATGGTTGATGATAATAATAATAATAATAATGTCACTTATAAAGCGCAAATGTCCACACACTTATGAATGCTCAATGCGCTGAAAAGAATTGAGTAAAAGAGTCAGACATAGGCACTTTGAAACAGGTGAGTTTTAACTTTTGACTTGAAGGTTGAGAGAGAGATTCACATAGTTTGATTTCTAAAGGTAAAGAGTTCCAAAGAGTTGGTGCGACATAGGAGAAAGCCCTTTTCCCATACGAAACAAGGTGGAATTTGGGAACTTGTAGTAGGTGCTGATTCTGGGACCGAAGTGATCTTGATGGAATGTATTCTTTGATGAGTTCGGTGAGATATTCTGGAGCTTGATTGTGGAGACAGCTGAAAGTGATGCAGAGAAGTTTGAAGTTGATTCTCTGTTGAATAGGCAACCAGTGTAAGGATTTGAGAACAGGAGAGATGTGATCAGATTTAGTCTTCAGAGAAATAATTCTTGCAGCTGTATTCTGTACTTTCTGTAGTCTTGAGATATTGTGTTTGCTGAGGCCGATCAACAGTCCATTGCAGTAGTCTAGTCTGGATAGCACTAGACATCTGACTAGGATGTGGGCACATTCCGCTGTGATGTAATTCCTGATGTTTCCTATGGCTTTAAGATGAAAATAACATGATTTGCATATTCTGTTGACTTGCTCCTGCAGTGAAAGGCCTGCGTCAATCCAAACTCCTAGGTCTTTCACAAGTCTCGATGTAGACACTTGTGCTGAACCAATTGTGACTTCATTTCTGAGAGGAGTTAGGTGATGCTTTCTGCCAACAAGTAGAACCTCTGTTTTTTTCATCATTGAGCTTTAGTGTTTGGCCGTTCATCCATGATTTTATTCCAGCAGTGCAGAGTTCTAGTTGTTGGGCGGCTCGTGATTGTAACGCAGGTGTGAAAGGCTTCAAGAGTTGGGTATCATCTGCATACGAATAGTTCGAGATTTTGAAGCTGTCGATGGCGGATTGAAGCTGGTTTGTATAGATGAGAAAGAGGACTGGACCTAGGACGGAGCCCTGAGGTACACCACACGAGAGAAAGGTCTTGCTGGAGAGTTTATCTGCAACTGAAACAAGTTGACTCCTGTCTGTCAGATAGGACTGAAACCATGTCAAGGCTACACCATGAATTCCGGCGTGATGCTCCAGAATGTGCAGCAGTATCTCATGATCCACAGTATCAAATGCTGCACTTAAATCTAGTAGGACCAAATATGCAGCATTGCCTGAGTCAACTGCCCATCTGAGGTCATTCATGACTCTTAGTAGCAGAGTTTCGGTTGAGTGATGTCGTCTATATGCAGACTGGAATTTACTCAGAATGTTATTTTCAGACAGATGATCCATGAGTCTCTTCGTAACTGCTCGTTCAATCAGTTTGGACAGGTAGGGCAAGTTAGAGACCGGGCGGTAATTTTTAAGGACCATTGAGTCGTTGTTCTTTTTTTTTTTTTATGTGTGGTTTGATGATAGCAGTCTTCATGTTATGCGGAAACATACCCTCCGATAGACTCTTGTTGATGATGTCTGTGATGACGGGCAACATAGAGGTCATGTGATCAACAATCATTTTGCTTGGGATTGGGTCACTCAAACAGGTTGTTACATTTGATGATCTGATGAGAAGTCTAACTTCGTGCTGCGAGAATGGTTCAAACTTGAACAGGATTGTTCCACTGAACTCAGACTGAGTGCCTTGTCTTTTGACTGGACTGTTTCCATGAAAAAAGAGTTTTAATGTTTCGGACTTTGGATTCAAAATAGCTGTTAAAGACTTTAATACAACTGAGATCTCCACTGCAGTACATCACATACTATATATCGGAGTGAGTGAGTGACTTAGTTGGATTTTACTCCGCTATTAGCAATATTCTAGTAACATCACAGTGTGGGACGCCAGAACTACATATATATCAGACAGCTTGTGTGGTTTATTACGAACGATTCTCAGTTTAAAGTCTGATTTTCATATTTCATTCGTTAAGCAATGCCCATTCTCCTATCCATATTATTAAAGCATACCGCTCAGTTGGGCGTTGGCGCTTGTGAACTAAATATATTTTAGGGACGCATCTGCAGGTCGAAATAAATTATCTCCCTTGACCGGAAATGGGTTTGGGCAAAAATGGATGCCAAATTTTGAGGAAGTGATCGATTATCTCAAACAAGGAAGGGTATTACCAGTGAACAACGCTCCAAAATGTCGCGAGCAATGATTCCAAGCCAGCAGAAGTTGGCTGAAAAGCTAACTATCCTCAACGATCGAGGAATAGGCATGCTCACACGAATATACAACATAAAAAAGGTAGGAATATGACATGATAATTCTCGGACAGAGAAGCAGCTTATTTGACAGATGGCTAATGATTGGATGTGCCAGAAATTATTCTTTATTTACTGCACCCGAAATATAAGTAACATAATGTTCGAATTTGAAATTATGGGGAACTGAAGAGATTAATTAATTGGATGAACGCATTCGGAATTGATGGACAAATTGGATACTTTTTTATGTTGTTAAAAATGCTCACTAAATGAACATGAATTTGTGAAAAGTTATTGCACGATAAAACAAAAATCATGTTTATCTCTACTAGGCACAGGTATTTTAGCCGGACCTTTGCATTGTACATTTGTGTAGTTAGCATGTTTTGCAGATTAGTGTCACACACAAACCTATACTTAACAAATTTACATTAATTTACAACAATGTATTAGCACTGAGGCAAAACAGCTTGCATTACTGTAAGTAAATGATAAATAAATAATAAATAATATTAAACTCCATTACTTTGATAATATATGATGATCATTGCTGCACAAGTAGAACCAGTGGTGCGTTAACAAGAGTTGCGAGTCCACACACTGATCAACTCATGCTTTAGCAATGTTTAGTTAATACAGTTATTGTTATTATGATCCTTATCATACTTAATTTTCCTTCCAACTTTTTGTGGTAATTTAGAAATTATCATTGGATTTAATCACCTAGACTATCAAGATGATAAGTGAGCCATGGTTATTCTGACATTAGAAGGTAAAGTGGGGTAGATTGAAATGTCAAAGGATGATCCCTGTATGTTTACATTTGAATGTATTACTATCACATGGACCTGTGAGATTCTTATGATCATGTAAAGCCCAATGTTGGTCACATGACATATCATTATGGCCATTGCTCAGAAGCCTGTTTAAATCTGATGTTCGTGTATTTAACAAATCTCTGATACCGGTACAGTTAATTGTGTATATAACCATGATAACCATGATAACAAACAAATTTATAACCGGATAATGAACTGACATTTATAGCTTGTTCAGCTTGACCTGGGCTACTCTACATACGCATGCCCCGGGAGGTCAAATGGCACAAACGGCAGGTCAAGTTAACTTCAATAAATAGGGGAGCAAAGAATGTTATTAATGTTGCTGCTCACTGCCTAAAAGCTCGAAACAAAAAAGCTTCTTTTTTAAAGAAAGTTGGACATTGCTGACGATTTCTCGACACTGATGTGTCAAACTGCGACCTTGTCTCGACTGTTCGGACATCTTGGCAATCAATGCATCCTTCACAATAATAGACCCAACCAGTTGTGACACGGTCACGCAATGCATTTGCATTCACTTAATCAGGTCAAGCTGAACGAGCTGTAATACTTTAAACTTTATGGGTTTTTTTTGTCTCTGACAATTGGTGTATATTTTAGTCAAAATGCACATAACTATGACGACCCCAGAATTTGAGGTCAATCTGACTTTGTTATAACCATAGTTTGCTGCGTATAGACATGACAGAAATGTCACTTGGATATAAAAGACAGTCTTTGATTTTGATTATGTTTGATGAATGTTAAAAGATGGCCATATTTTTTCTCCTCAATTTAAGTCAGGAAAACCCTGATGCAATTCTTCTTACACGAATAATTTTGACTTCATTGACCTCAACCATGTCAATGCTTTAAAATTTCAGGGAAAAAACACTAATTGGTCATCATCATTGCTGATCATTAGCGTGACCAACATGATCAATGTGAGATGATTTGTCAATATGGTCAATATATGCAACTTTATGATTGATGCAGATGCTGGGCAATAATGAAAACAAACCACCCTTCCTGTCTGACAAAACCATGGAATCAGCCATCAAGAGCATCCTGAAGAAGTTCCCGCAGTATGACATCAAACAGGGGCAGGTAACTCAGACAGTTTTACTTGACAAGATTCAGCATGTTCATCATGCTCTTAGATAAAACTGGAACAGGCCCGCATTGAGTCAGTGTTTTAGTATCTGAAATAATCGGCACAATACACATGGCATCTCAGGGCAGTGCTTGGTACTAACACAGTAAAACCAGCATCACCCAGGCTACAACAAGCATCAACATACTCATTCATATTGCTAACTTAAGATCGCACCGTGTAGATCCGTGTCAGAACTGGCCTTCACCAACTCCTGCTTGTCATAAGAGTCCACCTACGGGATCAGGTGGTCAGACTTGCTAACTTGATGGATGCATGTTGTATCTCAATTACCTCAGTTATCTAAAAAATTGATGCTCGTGATGTCAGTCACTGGATTGTCTAGTCCAGACTTGGTTGTGTACACAGTTTCATCATATAGCTGTATTATTGGTGAATGTAGTGTTAAACTTGAAACATCGAATCAAACATCTAAATATCTGCAGACTTGATATTGTCCTCATGAATCTTTGCTTGCTGTATGAGATGCATAAATGAACAATCCGGGCTTGGCAAATTGGTTGATTTCATGTCATTCTATTATTGTTGTAATGCGTAGATCTATGCTTGTGATGTCAGCCCCTATATTGTTAGATTTGTGTATTAACAGACCATCATCATACAGCTCATGAACATGATGAATGACAGCACAGTCTGAAGAATATTGATAAATATGGCATTCAAAACCCACTATAGGCATAATATTTGTATGAGATGCTCTATTGAAATACAGTGGAAACCGCCTAAGTAAAGACCGCTTAACTAAACAGACCGGATAAGTGAACACTATTCTTTGGTCCTGGCAAATTTCTTCTTTAATTATCACTATTAGAGTCCGGTTAACTAAACTCGGATAAGTAAACAATACCACTTAACTAAACGTCTTCTCATGGTCCCTGGAAGTAAATTACTTAACAAAAGAGACCTGATAACTAAATTAGCGATCACCACATGATCCGACATGAGGGGCACGTGTCAGTCTCCAGCTAAACAAACATCCTACTTACAGCTCGCTGGCGTCATGACAGCTGACAATACACTGACAACTGGAGGCCATGTTACTTACAAATGTTGTCAGTTATTCTGCTGTATACATATACATGCATATGGTTGTCATTTGCACGTTTTGATAAGTTTGGATAAGTAAAATACCTGATAATTAAACAATTTTGGCAAGTCCCTTGAAACTTTACTTATCAGGTTTCCACTGTAGTTCCAAGTTATGCCTTTTTGCCAAGTGACTGCTACCTAATATCTATTACCTGGTTACTGTCCATTGTTATGTTCAGGTGGATTAAATGTCAAAGAAGGTTATTTTGTATCCTTGTTCCTGTTAACATGGTAATCATGCTAATGATACCACCGGCCCACCTGACATGTTGAAATCTGACCATGTTTTAACAATGTGCATAATTACTTCTAACTGCAAATTTGGTTCTGTAAACCTTTTCTTTTGAAATTGCCTAACTGAGGGAACTCAACTTTGGCATGTATGCTTTTCCCTATCATGTTTATGATGACATTTTTTGTTAAATTAATTACATTTGTATGGATATTTACAGCATGTGAATATCAATGCTGACAGAAACCGTTTTTCAGTGGCTGTGTTTTTGTTTTATCAGGTGAGCTAAATTTTTCTGAACTGTGTCTGTGAACCTATGAAAACTACCGTTCTTGATTTCAGCTGAATGTCGTCAACACCATGAAAAGTGAGGTGACCAAATCTCTGTCTCTGTACTACTACACCTTTGTGGACATCTTGGACTTCAAGGTAACGACTTTCTCACAGAGGGTTAGAAAGTATAATATTATTGAGGGACATCTTGGACTTCAAGGTAACGACTTTCTCACATAGGGGTAGAAAGGATAATATTGTTGAGGGACATCTTGGACTTCAAGGTAACGACTTTCTCACAGAGGGTTAGAAAGGATAATATTATTGAGGGACATCTTGGACTTCAAGGTAACGACTTTCTCACATAGGGGTAGAAAGTATAATATTATTGAGGGACATCTTTGACTTCAAGGTAACGACTTTCTCACATAGGGGTAGAAAGTATAATATTATTGAGGGACATCTTGGACTTCAAGGTAACGACTTTCTCATATAGGGGTAGAAAGTATAATATTATTGAGGGACATCTTGGACTTCAAGGTAACGACTTTCTCATATAGGGGTAGAAAGTATAATATTGTTGAGGGACATCTTGGACTTCAAGGTAACGACTTTCTCACAGAGGGTTAGAAAGTATAATATTATTGAGGGACATCTTGGACTTCAAGGTAACGACTTTCTCACATAGGGGTAGAAAGTATAATATTATTGAGGGACATCTTGGACTTCAAGGTAACGACTTTCTCATATACATGAGATATAGAGGTAGAAAGTATTACATTATTGAGGGCATTCAGCTTGGACTGTCTTTGCGTTTGAACTACGCTTTAAACTGTAAACATTATAAGAACTACTAAGGGTCTGCACTCAGTAGGACGGGTTAAAAAGATCAATAATCAGAAATGTCATCAATGGGATAAATTATTAATGATTGACGATATGAAAATTGTGTCGTTGATAAACTATCATGATGAAATAAATTCTGGTGGACTGATTTTAGTATCAGCTCTGTTAAACGATATGTTTTCATTGTTTTGTTTTCTTAGGACCATGTGGTGGACCTGCTGACAACGATAGATGCTTGCCAAGTACACATGGACATCGTAAGTAGCAACTCAATCAATGTTGCTTCCAGCTTTAATGGGTATGATGTGTGAAAGCTTGGCAGTGTGAATTAATCAAAGGTGATCTAATGTGGTGCATTTGACTGTGAAGAGTTGTTTCCCTTGGCTGTGAAAGGATCATCATTATTTACATAAAATGGCATTACTAGCTTCATTACCACTGTCGTGGATTCCTCTCAAGTGTAACCATCTTAAGTCACAGCACATGGACCATTAACTAAGCTGACATTCAGTGATTTTATTGGTTATTAACTGATATTAACATGAATTACAGCTGACTTTCCATGATATCACTGATCAGTAACTAATAACATTCCATGTTATTATATGATGGGTAGATTTCCGCCCTGCTGATTGGCCCAATTGGTCACATGACAGCTTTGATGCTAAGTGATGTCAACCTCGCCACGCCGCGAGAGGTTGATATAACAATCCAAGCACCTCCCGTGGCTAAAAATAGACTAGGATATTCTAGCTGTGAACTCCGCACTGTGTGCGTCATGCTAGATAAGGAAGCAATAGGCATCGCTTCGTCCCTGTGACTGTGTTGGTTTAGCGTTACGTCCCATCTGTATCAAAATGGCTGCACCCCCGGGTCATGTGCAACGCCATCAGTGGTATGCTATGTGACAGAAGAACAGGTATTCAGTACTTTTGTCAAATAATAAAACAATTATTGACTTCAGTTCGGTTGATCCAGTGATGAATATCACATGTCCAAGGTCGATAAATCATTGGATCAGCCTCACTAGAAGTCAATAATTGTACAATGTCACTAATAATGAATTAAGCTGACATTCAGAGACATCACTGATCCAGTGGTACACCAATTCCCTTCTTTTCACAGACGTCCAACTTCGACCTGACCAGGAACTATCTTGACCTGATATCGACGTACGTATCGATCATGATCCTGGTGTCCAAGGTGGAGGACAGAAAGACAGTGCTGGGTCTGTTCAATGTGGCACATGAATTCCTGCACGGAAAAGGGTGAGATACAGAACTTATCGTTTTATGTAAAGTAACCAATCATTAGGTTAAGTCAAAACTTCTAACGAAAAAACTCAGTAGGTGTCACTTTGATCACTTATCCCATGATGGGCTTTGAATTGACTTGATTCTTATTTCTGAATGTAATAGGTTTGATTTCCAGTTGGCACACATATCAATAGTTGAGCAGTAGGCTGTTATGATATCTTTAAAAAAGGTATTGAATGTTTTTAATAGTGTGACATTGTTCCCCTGTGATTGGGATGTTGATTATATCATCTATATCTGGTACATACTGAGTTGTCTGCAGCTGTTGTTACATATTTGGAATGTTGCTAAGTGGGCCCTTAAACAATTATTGTGTAATGCTATGTTTCCTCCATAAACTTGGGTACCTGTGAAGGTCCGGGTTAGAAATATTGAACCATGCTTGTCGTAAGAGGCGACTAACGGGATCAGGTGGTCAGGTTCGCTGGCTTGGTTGACACATGTCATCGGTTCCCAATTGCGCAGATCGATGCTCCTGCTGTTGATCACAGGATTGTCTGGTCCAGACTGGATTATTTACAGACCGCCGCCATATAGCTGGAATATTGCTGAGTGCGGTGTAAAACTAAACTCACTCACTCAGTCCCATAAACTTGGGCCTTGAATCGGTCGTGTGTCATGTGACAGAAATTCATGCTGATTTCAAGGTCAGGGTTACTAAAACAAAAGTCAGATATAAAGGTCAGTGAATCTGCCTGTTTATCGTGTTTTTACTGTGTAATGTAACAATTACTGACTTTATGAGTCAAACCATGTCTTTGTACGTCCAAAGAAAACAAAATTGAAGCTGTCCTTATCATTTACTGATGACTGTATGGAGCTGGTGTTTGTTTCAGTGACCACGCATATCCTCGTCTGGGGCAGATGTTCCTGGACTATGACATGCCCATGAAGAAGTTGTCGGAGGAGTTCGTGCCACATTCCCGGGTGAGTCAAGAAGTGCACATTGTTTAGCATCTTGTTCCTTTGTTGCATGAGGTGAGGAGAAACAGGTTTATTGTTAGGTGAAATGGGTTTAAGGTGAGGTTGAATGGGTTTAATGTGAACTGAGCTGAAATGGGTTTTTATGTGAGGTGAAATGGCGTTTAAGGTGAGGTGGAATGGGTTTAATGTGAACTGAGCTGAAATTGGTTTAAGGTGAGGTGGAAATGGGTTTCAGGTGAGGTGAGATGAAATGGGTTAAAGGTGAAGTGAAATGAGTTTAAGGTGAGGTGGAATGGGTATAATTTAGATGAAATGAGTTTAAGATGAGGTGAAATGGGTTCAAGGTAAAGTGAGATGAAATGGGTTTATATGTGAGATGAAATGGCGTTTAAGGTGAGGTGAAATGGGTTTAGATGGGTTGAGGTGAAATGGGTTTAATGTGAGGTGAAATGAGTTTAAGGTGAGGTGGAATGGGTTTAAGGTGAAGTGAAATGAGTTTAAGGTGAGGTGGAATGGGTATAATTTAGATGAAATGAGTTTAATGTGAGGTGAAATGAGTTTAAGGTGAAGTGAAATGAGTTTAAGGTGAGGTGGAATGGGTATAATTTAGATGAAATGAGTTTAAGATGAGGTGAAATGGGTTCAAGGTGAAGTCAGATGAAATGGGTTTAATGCGGGATGAAATGGGTTTAGATGGGTTGAAGTGAAATGGGTTTAATGTGAGGTGAAATTGGTTTAATGGGATTTGAAATTGGAATTAATGTCAGGTGAGGTCAAGTACACCTAAAACAGGATTAAATGAGGTGAGGTGAAATGGGTTTAATGGGAAGTGAAGGGAAATGGGTTTAATGCGAGGTGAGATAAAATACAGCTAAAACAGGATTTAAGTGATGTGAGGTGAAATTGGGTTTAATTGGAGGTGAAGTGAAGATTTCTTTTCCAACAAGGCGGTGTTCCCTTATCAATCATGCTGAATATGTAAAGTTACATTTTTGAGGTTAGTATGGTTACCTATAAGAGAACTGTTGAATTTTGATAATGAAATCTGAGAAACCTGTTTAACCTGTTCTGTTCAAGTTTGATAAGACAGGTCACATTTATCTCGGTTCATCAGTTCCTGATGCCAGCTCTACTGTCTCTGCATGACGTCTACCCTCGACGGAACCTCCCAGCCGAACAGATGCGGAACCATCAGTTCCTGAGTCTTCTGTCGGAACCTTCCAAGATGTCCACTGTTCCCAACACAGACATGGTACGTTGTCCGACATTGACTGGCATCTAGTTCACCATAGGGAGGCATGGGTCTGAATTGTTCTTTGAATGAGTGAGTGCATGAGTTGGGATCTGCAGGCTTCACACATTGTACTCATGTTGGGAATCGAACCCGGGTCTTTAGCGTGACAAGCAAACACTTTAACCACAGGGCTACCCCATCGCTCTGAATTGTTCTTTGCAATGGTGTCGAGCCCATCTGACTCACCATGTTGTCACATTGTCTGTTAGCAGGATTAACTTCAATAGCATTATATGATTTGGCACTACAGCCTTCAACAAGAATATCGGGTGGTGGGGTAGCCTAGTGGTTAAAGCGTTCGCTCGTCAGGCCGAAGACCCGGGTTCGTTTCCCCACATGGGTACAGTGTGTGAAGCCCATTTCTGGTGCCCCCCGCCGTGATAAAGCTGGAATATTGTTAAAAGCGGCGTAAAACTTCACTCTCACTCACTCACTCACTCACTCACTCAGAATATCTGCATGACAACACTTTAACATTAATGATTAAAAGGTTACAATTCAGACATCCAAACATTCATACACGTCTTCCATCATGATTTAGCCCTGCTTTGTTGTCTGTTTCAGATTCAGTGCGAATATCATTCTCTGGACGTAATGGAGCGATGGATTATATGTGAGTGTGTCTCTGATTCACAAACCTTTTGACCTTTGGAAAGAAAGTCGTAGCATTGTGAACAAAAACAAAGTATTTGTATGTATCAGAGTCAAAGATATTGTATGGCTTTGATACTATTTAGTAGTCAGAAGTTGATTCATTAAGTTTCTCGTGGTTTTGTTGTGTTTAATAATAAGTCATCTTCTATAGCGCACAGTCTCCAAACACCAAGTGATTGCTCGCGGCGCTCGTGTTGCCAACAGAATGTGGACTATGTTGGTTGTGTTACAGTTGTGGTCACGTTGGTTGTGAAACAGTTGGACTGATGTTGGTTGTGGTATATTTGTGTTGATGTTGGTTGTGTTACAGTTGTGGTCATGTTGGTTGTGAAACAGTTGGACTGATGTTGGTCGTGGTATATTTGTGTTGATGTTGGTTGTGTTACAGTTGTGGTCATGTTGGTTGTGAAACAGTTGGACTGATGTTGGTCGTGGTATATTTGTGTTGATGTTGGTTGTGTTACAGTTGTGGTCATGTTGGTTGTGAAACAGTTGGACTGATGTTGGTTGTGGTATATTTGTTGTTGTTGATGTTGGTTGTGACTGATGTTGTATATTTGTGTTGATGTTGGTTGTGTTACAGTTGGACTGATGCTCTGCTACCAACACGTGTCGAAGGCTAAGGCGTGGGACCTGTGGAAGACCGCCCTCAGCTCCGCCTACATCATCCAGCTGTGTCGTGATGAAGTCCTACACATACACAGCTACGTCGTCAACTTCTTCGACAGTCTCAAGGGGTACGTTCTGGCGACCGGGTTACAAGAAATATACAACATAATCAATGTCACATTTAACTCATATCTCCTTTTCACAGTTAGATATTTGTGGTTATTCGTACTTCAGGTCTATTGAACAGATACAAGACCATTGTAGTTCTATTCTATTATTCATGGCGGCACATAGTGTATACAAACCCATTAAGTATTCACATCGGTTTAACAGGAGGTTTCTATCCTCCTTTAAAGAATTTAAAAGAGGCTACTGGTGGGATGACCATCAGATGTTTCAGTGAGTGGACCAGACAATCCAGTGATCAACAGCGTGAGCATCAATCTGCGCAATTGGGAACTGATGACATGTGTCAACTAAATCAGCGAGTCTGACCACCCGATCCTGTTAGTCGCCTCTTACGACAAGCATGGGTTACTGAAGATCAATATTCTAACCCGGACCTTCACGAGTTTCAGATGTTTCAGCTTTCAGAGGCGAAGATGTTTATCATGATTGACATGTTTCAGACACAACATCCAGCACAAGCGGGTGACAGAGGTGAAGGAGCTTCAGACACTGGCGTTACAGACAGCGTGAGTACCGCACCTTGCTGCTGTTCCCTTGTTTGTTGTTGTTCATGCCCCCCTCAATATATTCAGTGCATGTGACAGCAGCTTCCATAAAATCTGGAACAGACAGTCCAGTAACTAACATCATGAGTGTCAATCTACACAATTAATCCACATTTTTGGTACTCTGAAACGCCTCTTGCCCAGAATTTGGAAGGTTCTTACAGCAATTTAGATATAGGCTGTATGCATGACAAGATTTGAACTTTATACCAGGTCTGAGGACTCAACGGAGCCATTTGGAGAGAATTTGTTGCTTATTGGTGAGGTTAGGTGAAATGGGTTTAATGTGAGGTGAAGTGAAATGGGGTTTAATGTAAGGTGAGGTGAAATGGGTTTTATGTGAGGTGAGGTGAAATGGGTTCTATGTGAGGTAAGGTGCAATGGGGTTTAATGTGAGGTGAGGTGAAATAGGGTTTAATGTGAGGTAAGGTGCAATTGGGTTTAAAGTGAGGTTAGGTGAAATGGGTTTAATGTGAGGTGAAGTGAAATGGGGTTTAATGTAAGGTGAGGTGAAATGGGTTTTATGTGAGGTGAGGTGAAATGGGTTTAATGTGAGGTAAGGTGCAATGGGGTTTAATGTGAGGTGAGGTGAAATGGGGTTTAATGTGAGGTAAGGTGCAATGGGGTTTAATCTGAGGTGAAATTGGGTTTAATGTGAGTTGAGGTGAAATGGGGTTTAATGTGAGGTGAGGTGAAATGGGGTTTGAAGTGAGGTGAGGTGCAATGGGGTTTAATGTGAGGTGAGGTGCAATGGGGTTTAATGTGAGGTGAGGTGAAATGGGGTTTAATGTGCAATGGGGTTTGAAAGAGGTGAGGTGCAATGGGGTTTAATCTGAAAGTGAGGTTTAATGGTGAAAATGGGTTTAATGTGAGGTGAGGTGAAATGGGGTTTAATGTGAGGTGAGGCAAAATGTGAGGTAAGGTGAAATGGGGTTTAATGTGAGGTAAGGTGAAATGGGGTTTAATGTGAGGTGAGGTGAAATGGGGTTTAATGTGAGGTAAGGTGCAATGGGGTTTAATCTGAGGTGAGGTGAAATGGGGTTTAATGTGAGGTGAGGTGAAATGGGGTTTAATGTGAGGTGAGGTGAAATGGGGTTTAAAGTGAGGTGAGGTGAAATGGGGTTTGAAGTGAGGTGAGGTGCAATGGGGTTTAATGTGAGGTGAGATGAAATGGGGTTTAATCTGAGGTTAGGTGCAATGGGGTTTGATCTGAGGTTAGGTGCAATGGGGTTTGAGGTGAGGTGCAATGGGGTTTGAAGTGAGGTGAGGTGCAATGGGGTTTAATCTGAGGTAAGGTGCAATGGGGTTTTAATGTGAGGTGAGGTGAAATGGGGTTTAAAGTGAGGTGAGGTGAAATGGGGTTTAATGTGAGGTAAGGCAAAATTGGGTTTAATGTGAGGTAAGGTGAAATGGGGTTTATAGTGAGGTTAGGCGAAATGGGGTTTAATGTGAGGTGAGGTGAAATAGGGTTTAATCTGAGGTAAGGTGCAATGGGGTTTAATGTGAGGTGAGGTGAAATGGGTTTAATGTGAGGTGAGGCGAAATGGGGTTTAATGTGAGGTAAGGTGAAATGGGTTTTGAAGTGAGGTGAGGTGAAATGGGGTTTAAAGTGAGGTGAAATGGGGTTTGAAGTGAGGTGAGGTGCAATGGTGTTTAATGTGAGGTGAGGTGAAATGGGGTTTAATCTGACGTGAGGTGAAATGGGGTTTGAAGTGAGGTGAGGTGAAATGGGGTTTGAAGTGAGGTGAGGTGAAATGGGGTTTGAAGTGAGGTGAGGTGAAATGGGTTTAATGTGAGGTGAGGTGAAATGGGGTTTGAAGTGAGGTGAGGTGCAATGGGGTTTAAAGTGAGGTGATGTGATATGGGTTTAAGGCGAAATGGGGTTTAATGTGAGGAAAGGTGAAATGGGGTTTATGTGAGGTAAGGTGAAATGGGGTTTATAGTGAGGTAAGGCAAAATGGGGTTTAATCTGAGGTGAGGTGAAATGGGGTTTAATCTAAGGTAAGGCGCAATGGGGTTTTAATCATGAAATTCGTTTAGGTGAGGTGCAATGGGGTTTAAAGAGGTTTAAGGCTGAGGTAAATGGGGTTTAATGTGAGGTAAGGTGAAATTCGTTTAATGTGAGGTTAGGTGCAATGGGGTTTGAAGTGAGGTGAGGTGAAATGGGGTTTAATCTGAGGTGAGGTGAAATGGGTTTAAAGTGAGGTGAGGTGAAATGGGGTTTGAACTGAGGTGAGGTGCAATTGGGTTTAATGTGAGGTGAGGTGAAATGGGGTTTGAAGTGAGGTGAGGTGCAATGGGGTTTAATGTGAGATGAGGTGAATTGGGGTTTAATCTGAGGTAAGGTGCAATGAGGTTTAATGTGAGGTTAGTGAAATGGGTTTTAAGTGAGGTGAGGTGAAACGGGGTTTATTGTGAGGTGAGGTGAAATGGGGTTTAATGTGAGGTAAGGCAAAATGGGGTTTGAGGTGAGGTGAGGTGAAATGGGTTTAATGTGAGGTAAGGTGCAATGGGGTTTAATGTCAGGTGAGGTGAAATGGGGTTTATGGTGAGGTAAGGTGCAATGGGGTTTATGTGAGGTGAGGTGAAATGGGATTTAATGTGATGCGAAGTGAAGTGGGGTTTAATGTGAGAGAGAGAATTTGTTGCTTAAGTTTATTGCGATCAAAACAATGAAAGTGTTTCAGTATGGGTATCTGACAATGCTTTAAGTGTGGAAGTCAAGACTTGTAACTGTGATTTCAGTCCTGCAGTACACCGTGAGAGGAGGAAGTTCCTGCGTACTATGCTGCGCGAACTGTCTCTGGTGTTTTCTGACCAGCCTGGCTTGCTGGGGCCAAAGGTGAGTGATGACGCTGTAGTGCCTGTGTGTCTAGGACTGTTTTGCTCTCTGTCATCAGTGTTCTCGTTGTTGTGTATCCAACACTGAAATGTTGCAAGCTGAATAATGGACAAGGGCCAATAACTGACCACAGGGTTTTGTATCTCTATTGAACAGTTAATCATGGAGGTGAAGCATGTGTAAACCTGTGTGTGTACAAAGGGTATTATTGTATAACGGGTAGATAAGATGTGATGACTAACGTGGTGTATGTGTTCACGGAATGTTTGTGGTACAATGGAGGTTACTTGCATAGTGGTAGGAATGATTACTAACGTGGTGTTTGTGTACAGGGCTTGTTTGTGGTACAAGGGCTGTCGATGGCCCGGGATGAGATCCACTGGTTGCTGCGACATGTTGTCAACCCTCCATCAAAACGTCACAACATCAAGCTCTCCCAAGAGGACTTCTACGACAGGTGTGTATACTGATGTATATGTGTCTGAACCCAAGCCTGGGACAGGTGTGTATACTGATGTGTATATGTGTCTGAACCCAAGCCTGGGACAGGTGTGTATACTGATGTATATGTGTCTAAACCCAAGCCTGGGACAGGTGTGTATACCGATGTATATGTGTCTGAACCCAATCCTGGGACAGGTGTGTATACTGATGTATATGTGTCCGAACCCAAGCCTGGGACAGGTGTGTATACCGATGTATATGTGTCCGAACCCAATCCTGGGACAGGTGTGTATACTGATGTGTATATGTGTCCAAACCCAAGCCTGGGACAGGTGTGTATACCGATGTATATGTGTCCAAACCCAAGCCTGGGACAGGTGTGTATACCGACGTATATGTGTCCAAACCCAAGCCTGGGACAGGTGTGTATACCAATATATATGTGTCCGAACCCAATCCTGGGACAGGTGTGTATACTGATGCATATATGTCCAAACCCAAGCCTGGGACAGGTGTGTATACTGATGTGTATATATGTCCAAACCCAAGCCTGGGACAGGTGTGTATACCGGTATATGTGTCCCAACCCAATCCTGGGACAGGTGTGTATACTGATGTGTATATGTGTCCGAACCCAAGCCTGGGACAGGTGTGTATACCGATGTATATGTGTCCGAACCCAAGCCTGGGACAGGTGTGTATACCGATGTATATGTGTCCAAACCCAATCCTGGGACAGGTGTGTATACTGATGTGTATATGTGTCCAAACCCAAGCCTGGGACAGGTGTGTATACCGATGTATATGTGTCCAGACCCAAGCCTGGGACAGGTGTGTATACCGATATATATGTGTCCGAACCCAATCCTGGGACAGGTGTGTATACTGATGTGTATATGTGTCCAAACCCAAGCCTGGGACAGGTGTGTATACCGATGTATATGTGTCCGAACCCAATCCTGGGACAGGTGTGTATACCGATGTATATGTGTCCGAACCCAATCCTGGGACAGGTGTGTATACTGATGTGTATATATGTCCAAACCCAAGCCTGGGACAGGTGTGTATACTGATGTGTATATATGTCCAAACCCAAGCCTGGGACAGGTGTGTATACCGAAGTATATGTGTCCGAACCCAATCCTGGGACAGGTGTGTATACTGATGTGTATATGTGTCCGAACCCAAGCCTGGGACAGGTGTGTATACTGATGTATATGTGTCCGAACCCAAGCCTGGGACAGGTGTGTATACCGATGTATATGTGTCCAAACCCAATCCTGGGACAGGTGTGTATACTGATGTGTATATGTGTCCAAACCCAAGCCTGGGACAGGTGTGTATACCGATGTATATGTGTCCAGACCCAATCCTGGGACAGGTGTGTATACCGATGTATATGTGTCCGAACCCAAGCCTGGGACAGGTGTGTATACTGATGTATATGTGTCCGAACCCAAGCCTGGGACAGGTGTGTATACTGATGTATATGTGTCTGAACTCAAGCCTGGGACAGGTGTGTATACTGATGTGTATATGTGTCCAAACCCAATCCTGGGACAGGTGTGTATACCGATGTATATGTGTCCGAACCCAAGCCTGGGACAGGTGTGTATACTGATGTATATGTGTCCGAACCCAAGCCTGGGACAGGTGTGTATACCAATGTATATGTGTCCGAACCCAAGCCTGGGACAGGTCTGACACTTCCAGGACTGTTGATGTAATCTCACAAACTCTGATTTATCTGCTCATCAACATCAGTGATATGGCATTGTTTAAAATTGTTGAATGTTCTGTCATATTCGATGTTGATATATTCTTTTCTACATTGCTTAGGACTTCTTTATTTTTATCCACCCGGCATGTAATTCGGGTGGATATAGTCGTCACCTCGTCCGTCCGTCCGTAATCATTTTGTCTCCGGAGCATAACTCAAAAACCGTTCAATATTTTTCCACAAAACTTGGTAGATATATCAAACACATCCTAAAGTTGTGCCTTTTGCTATTTGCAGATTTTTGGCATTTTAATTTTTCCCGGTTTCCATGGAAACGATTTGCACTTAGTCTAAAAGCAAGCTGGACTTTAAGTAACTATCAGATGATTTGTTCTTTCAAAGATGTGGGGGCCGGGGGGATATGTCATCTTCTGATGACTCTTGTTATATTACACTCTGTAATGTCCCAAATTCCCCAAATGCGTTTTGAACATCTCTCTTGCACCCCTGCATCATATTACTGGATGTTTCCAAAAGGCATGGCACAGCCTAATGGATAAATTGCTAATCATCCACTGGGTTTGATTCCCAACATTGTTATAATGTATGAAAGCCAATCTATGCAGTGTATGAAATAAGCCAAAACTCCAGTTAGACATCAGGGATGATAACTTGAAAATGTTACCAGCCCAAAATGGATTCAACCAGACCAGACACCAAGCAAGATATGGCGAATTTACTCAGATGGATGGAACACCTAAAATGTTTACCAGACCATCGGGCTGGCTAGCTGTAAATCTAGACTGTCCGTCAGAAATCTAGCCCTTCTCTGGCGGTCAGACGGGCCTTATTTCCTACACTGATCTATGTAAAAGCTGTGTCAAATTTTATTCACTGCTTCATAATTCTGATACTGTGAGGGTTCACAGTTGGCCAAGTTGTCTAAGTGCAGAGTTGCCTCCCCTGATGATGCCAGACACCTGTGATTGGGGGTTGGAATTCCAACTCATCCAAATTGCATGTCTGTGTTTGGAAGCACCATCCTCGTGGGTTTCTTCGAAGTAGTGAATATTTAGACCTGCTTCATATTGGGTTTTGTCTTACAAACTGTTTTAGGCCTGCGTCCGATTGGGGGTTTGTCTCACATTAGGCAAGAAACAGTGACAGAAGGGGAATACTGTTGAAGGTTTGATTAAACGAAACTCACATATTGAGTGAAGCTGTGTGGAGCTGTGGGGAGACTGATAGTTAAAGGGTTGTACCATGGAAATACACAATATGACACACACTGTTACAGTATCTCACCTGCTGGTATTGTCAGTGTGAACTTGATGATGCATTCTTATCTTGTGATGTTTTCCAGACAACTCCCAGAACTGTTGTTCTACATGGAGGAGCTGAAAGGTAAGAAAATCCTTTAGGTCCAAAACAGTTTGTAACTTAAATTAAGTACTATCATTGGACATTGTGTTTGGTTCCAACCAACTTTGGGGGGGAACCAGTGGCCATGGGACCTGTATCATGTCAGGCTTTCCTCCAACAACAGACTGACGTGCTGTGATAGAGCTTGAATCTCTCACATGAACTGTTGTGTTTCACTTTCTTGCTTCAAAGGAGCATACAATCTGTGAAGCCCATTTCTGGTGTCCCCCGCCGGGATATTGCTGGAATATTGCTAAAAGCGGCATAAACCATACTCACTCACTCACTCAAAAGAGCAACAACTTGGCATGATTAGTGGTCCTGTTTGTATTTGAATTTTTACAGATTTTTGTAAGACTGAGGAAACCTGTTCATTCTTTGGGTCATCTCATAAACATAAGTTGAAGAAACTAGGACTATCAATAATAAAATTTGATACGTTCATATCAAAAGTTACTTGGTGATATGAATTTTACAATACAAAAATGGTAAAACCATGTGATGCTTGTACAACAATGTACAAGAGTTGTATCCACTTTGCCAGGGCTGGTGAAGAAGTACAACCAGGTGATCCAGCGTTACTATGTGCAATACCTGATGGGCTACGACGCTGTCTATCTCAATCAACTCATACAGGTACGACCTTAAATATTTCACATACTGACAGGACTAGCCATTGACTGAAACTGTGTCGGCTATGTTCATGGAGTTTCACAAGTACATCATATCATTACAACTTGGTAAGCTTTGTTCTTTAGATGTGTTTTATTATGCTCGTTAACAAGAGAAATGAATCAGTTATAAAATATACTACTCATATTACTATAGTTATACTGTCATGCAAAGTACCCATGAAGGTCCGGGTTAGAATGTACCTTCAGTAACCCATGCTTGTCGTAAGAGGCGACTAATGGGTTCGGGTGGTCAGGCTCCCTGGCTTGGTTGACACATGTCATCGGTTCCCAATTGCGCAGATCGATGTTTATGCTGTTGATCACTGGATTGTCTGGTCCAGACTGGATTATTTACAGACCGTCGCCATATAGCTGGAATATTGCTGAGTGCGGCGTAAAACTAAACTCACTCACTCACTCATGCCAAGTAAAGTATGTTAACTGAAGGACACAAGCTGTCATCACATATACCTACTTATTTCATGTGTAATAATGTGAGAAAACTTCTGCAGCCATTTAATAAAGCATATGTAGCTCTTTTACTTTGCTGAAGCAACTGGCAACTGAGGTATTGTTTGGTATCTTGGTGCTAGTTTGTTGTTCACAGTAAAGAAACCGCCTCCGTGGTGTAGTGGTTAGAGCGTCCGCCCGGAGAGCGGAAGGTCGCGGGTTCGATCCCCGACCGCGTCATACCAAAAGACGTTAAAATATGGTACTTGTTGGTCCCTGCCTGGCGCTCGGCATTAATGGGTACATCAAGGACTGGTGGGCTTGAAGTCAGTATAACTTGTCTGAGTGGGGTATTCATGCTTCACTGCGGCATGGTATCTCAGTGGGCTAGCACGATAAAACCAGCTTCAGTCTGGGCTAGTTCAAGCAGCCGCACATACACATACACACGCATGCACGTCGTCATATGAGCGAAATATTCTCAAGCACGACGATAAACCCAATTTCACCTCACCTCACCTCACCTCACCTCACCTCACCTCACCTCACCTCACCTCACCTCACCTCACCTCACCTCACCTCACAGTAAAGATACACTGGGCACTAAACACCATGATTACCAGCCACTAGTGGAGAGGTGGGGTAACCTAATGGTTAAAGCGCCCACTCGTCATGTTGAAGACCCAGGTTCGATTCCCCACATGGGTACATTGTGTGAAGCCCATTTCTGGTGTCCCCCACCGTGATATTGCTGGAATATTGCGTAAAACTCATTCACTCCAGCCCCTAGGTACTCCGCCTCATGACCTGGTTTCTGATTAACCCTCATCTCGTGTCGTGTCTGTTACAGAATCTTGCAATGTGCCCAGAAGATGAGTCTGTGATCCTGTCATCTTTCTACAACACAATCTCTGCTCTCTCTGTCAAACAAGGTGGGCAAGATCAGGGACAGACTCTTCAGTTCCATTCTCTAGAATATAGTAACTTCATGCAAAGTTAAAGAGAGATCTTCATTAATTTGAGTGATTTGTTCTCTGGTCACATGATAGCAAGAGATATTAAAAGATGGGACTTGTTGTTGCCCTGACTGGTGCTTGTGGTTAATGGTGTAAAACAAGGACCTTGGGGCACTGTGTGCTGTGACTGTGTCTGGTATCCATGTTAAACGGCAGCATGGGCTAGAACTTTATAACAAGCATTTCCCTGTCTCATAAACTGAACAAAAACAGTGAGGTGGCATCGAAACTTTGGGGGATTGTTTTGTAGTAAAGACTGAACACACAATTTCATGAAACGTTCCATCAAAATATGCACAATCCCTAACTGTTTCTGTTTTATATATGTACACAACCTTTCTCCATGACAATGATAAATTGATCCAGTTCATTTGGTAACCCTGCTCGTTTCACAGTGAATCATGATAATTGGATGTTATGTACTTTTAATATCCTTTTACCTGTGTTATCAGTTGAAGAAAATGAGCTGTTTGACTTCCGAGGGCTTCGCCTGGACTGGTTCCGACTGCAGGTGAGTTCATAAATCAACATTGATGCCTGCATAACATAGTAACCAGTTACCAATCTGCATAACCATAAGAGCTGCGCAATATAACCGGTTTACCAGTATTTACCGGTTCAGACATGAAAACGATACGTATTGCGATACGCTGATTGAAAACCGGTATTTTGACTTGCATTTGGAAAACTTCGTAACACTCGGAAATGTTCGGATATGTCCTTATTTCATTTGTGCCAAATATTATTCACATTTTTCTTTTATCATGATTAAAAGTTGTTATTACAGCTTAATCCAGCCTAGTGATTTTGTTGTGTTTTTGCTCTATAAATCAAGAAGTAACTCGATTATAAGTAGTTTTTGTTTTAAAATACTTCATGCAATATATTGCAATTCATATTGCAAAACATGCTTTCGCATTTCAATATATCGCAGTATGAAAATTTTCTGCAATACCCACCCCTAATAACCATTTCGGATTAGAAAAGGTCCCAAACTGCTGATTATGCAAGATTATATGAGAGATTATATGTTCACTTGTTCACTGTTTCGTTTGTTGGATTGACTTGTCCAGACCTGACTATGTACAGACTGTTTACACCATCATATAGCTGGAATATTGCTGAGTACGACATCAAACAACAAATAGCAACCTGTGCCGAACAAGACAAGCCTCACAGTTCTATATATGTTTTCGAAATGTGTTCATATGTTTGAAATCAATATTCTCTTGGGTGATATTCTCTATGTATTGTCACTGTGTTTGAATGCATTTTATCAACTGCCTTATCTTTAACAGTGTGGTACCAAGGTTTAAAATTAAGAACCAATGTATTTGGGCCTTGCCAAATGTTAAGGACACCTAGGTATGTGGTCCTGTGTATATACAGTGTGTGAAATAAGGCCCGAGACGGGTTAGATTTCAGGCGGACAGTCTAGATGTACAGCTAGCCAGCCCGATGGTCTGGTAAAAAAATTAGATGTTATATACATTTGAGTCATATCTTGGTGTCTGGTCTGGTTAAATGCATTTTGGACTGGTAACATTTTGAAGTTACCAGCCCTGATGTCTGGCAGGGGTTTGGGCTTATTTCATACACTGGTATAGAGCAAAGGTCACAAATAAGTTGAAGTAAAGCAACGTTGGGTGCGGAGAGTCCTTGGATGGGTGATTGTGTTTGCTAGCTTGGATTCTGAGAGTTTCTAGGAGTTCTATGTGGTCACACCTTAGGCAAGTGAGTTTGTTAAAAATGCCTCTGTTCACCCAGCAGAAAATGGGTACCCGGTGGTATGAGTTTTCCGGGGTAATAATGTCCATTATGTTGTATGCACTTAGAGCATGTCCCTGCAGCGTGGAGTTAGCACCATGTAAGTGGTCTTTTTATGTTGTTAAAACAGTGGAACTGTCCTGTGATCATGTTCTCTATTGCCTGTTTCCAGTCGTACACCAGTATGAGTAAAGCCGGACTGATCCTCAAGGATCATCGAGACCTGGCTCGCCACCTCAACACCGTCATCTTCCACACCAAGATGGTTGACGCACTCGATGAGCTGCTCAACGAAACCGGGGACCTCTCTATATACTGGTAAATGTTGTATAATATTGTTAAGACCAGGTTAGAAAAAGGTCTCAAGGAGCCATAGTGAAAACAGAGGTAATGGAGAGTCACTTATGTCCACAACAAATCAATGTAATCATTGTAACTTCCAGCTAGATATTTTTCTCATGTCATTTGATGTCTAGGTATGTAACATGTTCATGCTTAAAAGAAGTATCAGATTTCAATATTGAACTCAATTCTTCACACCTCATAACATGTGTGTTCCAGCTTCTACACAAACCTGTTTGAGCACCAGTTCAAGCAGTGTATGGAGTTCCCTGCCCAGCACCGGTTCAGTATTATCTTCCCCATGATCTGCGGCCACTTCATGAACGCCACCCACCCGCTGTGTCCTGAGGAGGTAAAGTCTCACTAATACCCTGCAACTGTTGTCCACAACCTCCTTATACAAGGCGGCCATAGTGATGATGTCTGTGTTAAAGAGTTTATTTTAAAACATTATGATCAATTTGTGAAACTCTATCGGGACCACAAGTGTCTAGTATATGGTATACATGTCCAGTTTGTGTTTACATACCGAAAGACGTTAAAATATGGTACTTGTTGGTCCCTGCCTGGCGCTCGGCATTAATGGGTACAACAAGGACTGCTCGGCTCGGAGTCAGTATAATGTGTCTGAGTGGGGTCTTCATTCTTCTCTGTGGCATGGTATCTCAGTGGGCTAGCACTATAAAACCAGCTTCAGTCTGGACTAGTACTAGCAGCCGCTCACACACATACACACGCATGCACGTCGTCATATGAGTTAAATATTCTCAAGCACGACGTAAAACCCAATTTCACCTCACCTTGTGTTTACAGCAGCACTCTATCGTCACCCTGAGCGTCCACTATGTGGTGTACATGTCCAGTTTGTGTTTACAGCGGCCCTCTATCGGGACCACAAGTGTCCACAATGTGATATATATATGTCCAGTTTGTGTTTACAGCGGCCCTCTATCGGGACCACGAGTGTCCACTATGTGATATATATATGTCCAGTTTGTGTTTACAGCGGCACTCTATCAGGACCACAAGTGTCCACTATGTGATATATATATGTCCAGTTTGTGTTTACAGCGGCACTCTATCGGGACCACGAGTGTCCACTATGTGATATATATATGTCCAGTTTGTGTTTACAGCGGCATTCTGTCGGGACCACGAGTGTCCAGTACGCCCACTGGTTCCTGCGTGAGATGTCCGAGGAGGTGAACCAGGTCATCACGGCTATCTGCGAGGAACAGTGCATGCTTAGCTACAAGGTCAGTTGTCACACATGAAATAATAATTTCACCTGTGTCTGAAACTGACATGTAAAAATGTTTAGCTTTCAAATTCTCTGTAAATTTAATTGTCGTGTCATAACTCTTTAGCATGTAAATTGTTGTTTGATGTTCCCAATCCCTTGATTGATGTTGTTGTTGTTGTTGTTCCGATCCCTTGATTGACTTTGTTGTTGTTCCGATCCCTTGATTGACTTTGTTGTTCTAATCTCTTGATTGGCGTTGTTGTGCCGATCCCTTAAAGAACCACTAAACTTTGTTTTTGTTACTCTTTTAACCATTACATATGAAAGATTTGTGGTTAGTCTTATCACGGAACACCAAATTTATTCTTTAAAACTTGTGGATGAGGAACGATTTTCAGTTAGTTGTATAGAAAATGTGTAGCACGCTCATCATTTTGATGATTTCTCGACATCAACGATGACATGCCGAATCGTTGCTTTGTCGTCAATTGCTCCTAGGGTTCGAGACAATGGTGTCCCCATGCACAGATTTCCACAGGACCCACGCGGTTCGTGCTAAATCGGTTATGTTTGTGAGTCTTGGCGGCGTTGTGGAAGCCTGAAGCGATATCTTACTTGTGTTCAGATGCGCTTCACTGAAGTTAAAGAATCAAAACTACTTACTAGTTGTTGTAAAAATATGTATATGATTGATGACCATAAAGATTTTCTATGACACAACTTGTAACATAACGATTTCTTCCTCGGAAGTGAGGTTGTGGTCAAGTAACAATAATATTGTAAGTACTACTATTGTAGTATTATATTGACACCCACCTGCGCTGCCAGGGAGAGAATTGTTATGTTATCGCTATGTCATGCAAAATCCTATTGGCCATCAATAAAATACATACTTTACTACAGTAGAAAGTAGTTTTGATTTTGTATCCTTCGGTGAAAACAAACCTAAATACCATTTATCCTCAGACTGGCGGATGTTCCCGACAGGGCTTTTCGCCATTTTAAAAAATAAAAATCTGTTAGAATTAATGAGATTATAGTTTGTTTTCATCAAGTTAGAAAATCAAGACTACTTTCTACTGCGTAGTTAAATATGTATTGGAATCATAACCAAAGCGGATTTTGCATGACACAACTTATAACATAACGATTTCTTCCCGCGAGGCGAGGTGGAATTCGAAGTCACAATACTGTTGATAAATTTCTTGCTACATTCCCATGGTTAATGTCCACTCACCAGTATGTAGATACTAGTCAATAATGCGTCTTTATATTTGGTCTTATAATCCTAATTAGTTTATTACCATACTTGTATGCATTTTGAAACAAAATAAAAAGCAGACGATCTGCTGATACTGATAGTGAATTTATAACAGAACTGTAATATCTAGACATTTTATAGTTTGCCAATGTGAATCATAATTAGCACACACACCTAGTGCATGTTGTCTGACTCATTACACTTCAGCTGAAAACAATGATTCTGTTGAATGCTTTCGACAAATGAATACAATCAAAATGCAAATATTAAAATTAAAACAGATTAAAGTTATAGGAACAATATCAGGCCATTACCTTGTTCTAGAGGAATGTATCCATCAATATCCACAAAACTGTTCCAAATGATGTGTCTTTTAACAGTTTAATATACGAAAAGTGATAAATCTTTTCAGGTATTGGTGTATAGTCTCATTGGTCACCAAGATAGCACACCTGGCAACTAATTGCATAATGTCCATGCTTTCTTTAAAACAGTAATTTAGTTAGCCAATAATGGGCAATCAATCAATGTATTGCCAGTATACAATATATAACAAGTTTTATGGATAACAACTTCTTTATTTTGGTGAGTCGACGCTTTTACGATACAGATTCTTGTACCGTTGTCAAGCAAGAGTGATACATGAAGTGTAGGAGCTGCATATATATACTGTATATAACAATGAAACAACATAATAGACAAAGGAAACAACATAATTGCCATGATTGGCTAAGCAGTAAGCTGATGAAGCCAGTAAGTACATAAAGGATAGTGAATGGAAGCCAGAGATGTAGTTACAATGAGATGTTTATACAATGGATTACGATGTTTATACAATATAGACTGGGCTTGAGTGGAGGAGTGGATCATAAAGCAGATTTGAATGAAGTATCCTTGGTATTCACGGTTGATGGTAGGCTCATTCATTGTAACTACATCTCTGGCTTCCATTCACTATCCTTTATGTACTTACTGGCTTCATCAGCTTACTGCTTAGCCAATCATGGCAATTATGTTGTTTCCTTTGTCTATTATGTTGTTTCATTGTTATATACAGTATATATATGCAGCTCCTACACTTCATGTATCACTCTTTGCTTGACAACGGTACAAGAATCTGTATCGAAACGTCGCACTCAACTCAAAATAAAGAAGTTGTTATCCATAAAACTTGTTATATATTGGTCATGCGTCTCTACTTCTAAAATGCCACTCAAACAAGTAATGTATTGCGGTTAATCCTTTGAAAGAAGGACGTTGTTTTGCACGCTTGAACACCGACCGACAGAGTGTATTCAGTATAGATTAGTAAATCTACATACGTAAAACACTACCTTTGACAATCCGGCTGTGTAAGATAAAAATAATTAATCAATCAGCGATGTTATCGGGTTAATCCTTTGATCGATGTTTATAATGTTGAATATTTACTCAGACACAAGAAATGCCAAATGGGAACCTTTGTCGGTAATCTAAGTGTGTTACCACTAATTATACCTGTTATAAATTCATTAACTGACCATCAAGTGAATGATGACAAATAACATGTGTAGGTTTATACCACCTAACACTGGTTTACAACAAGGGAGTATAAATTGCTGTATTGCATGTGAAAAACTTATGGGCCGACACTGTTTTGAGAATACAAAACAGATTTTTACATGACATGATTAAATATCGAGGTAAAAACACAGAAATGGGATCGGAATTTGGATCAGTCATTATACAAATAGGGGCCTAACGACCTGTCGATTTTGACAGAATCGTCTATGAAAACAAGTTGTAACTTCGGAAACTAGGGCAAAGCAGGAGACAAAATTAAATGACAGTAGATTGTGAGAACATATAGCTTTTATTTTTCCACAACAATTGTCACGATTTCAGGTTTATACAAGCCTGTAAACAAGATAATTTAACCCCTAAAATGTAGATGAATTCTGCATCGGCCCTCAAAGCTATTCCTCATATGACGTCACAGACGCCAGCCTCTGATTGGTTGAAATTTGCTGTTCTCATGGGTGAGAATTGTGCACTGTTGTCAAAAGGCTCGATTTAAGCCAATTAAAGGTCGAAATGAGGAGTTTTAATGACAGTGTTTCATTTATAACGATGCCAGTTAGTGATTTATGTATTTGTACCCCCTAGGGTTTATGTGACCTTTTAATTGACTTTTGTTGTTGTTCTGTTCTGGTCCCTTGATTGACTTTGTTGTTGTTCCAATCCCTTGACTGACTTGGTTGTTCAGATCTCTTGATTGACTTTGTTGTTGTTCTGTTCTGGTCCCTTGATTGACTTTGTTGTTGTTCCAATCCCTTGACTGACTTTGTTGTTGTTCTGTTGTTCTGGTCCCTTGATTGACTTTGTTGTTGTTCCAATCCCTTGACTGACTTTGTTGTTGTTCTGTTGTTCCGATCCCTTAATTGACTTGGTTGTTGTTGTGCAGCTGCTGCCGAAGCACAGTGCGGCCACCATCCTCAATACAGTGCAGCTCAAGAAGAACAAGGAGAAGAAGAACCGAGAGATCAAAGAGCCTGAGAAACCAGGACAGGAGAGCATCCGCAAAAACAGGGAGAACTTTACCAGGTGATTTCATGGCTGGATGAGGATTCCTAGTAGACTTGTTCTCAGACCATATTGTGAAGTTTTGGGCAAAATTGGCGAAATATCATATTGCTTCAAGTGAATAACCAAGAGATAATGAAAATGTGAAGTTTGTGATAAGACATTAATAGACAAGATGATTTCTAATTTTGGTTGCATTTCTTTTTTGTTACATTTCAAGATTATCACATTTTATTGTCTTGTACAGGCATGACCTGATATCCCAGATAGCATTCGGCGTTATTGCGCTGGCAATGGTTTTGCCAACATTGCCAAGGTTGGGCCAACGTCCGAATGCTATCTGGGATGTTGTTCCGTGATCATAAAATCGTCACTGAAACAGTGTTTTCTTTTCCTTCTCACATCCAGTGATACAACTGAAATATGCAAGGCTAAATCCAACTCACCTATGTGTCCTTGGTTTTTGAGAATCAGACTGATCTGGTCACCAAGTCTAGGTGTTACAGAGTTGCCTCCCTTCACATGTCACTATCCATGCAGTCAATAGATGGTTCTAATCCCTGATTCTCACTTATCCTGATCCATGGTTTGAAAGCAACAGTGATCAACATCATGAGCATCGATCTACGTAATTGGGATACAATGACCTGTGTCAACCAAGTCAGCGAGCCTGACCACCCAATCCCATATGTTGCCTCTTACGACAGGCATGGGTTGCTGAAGGCCAGTTTTCACCCAGATACCTCTTTAAACAGTGCAGTAATGATCGTAGCCTGAAGAATTTGCTATAGTGTCTTCGACAATTCATATCCTGTTTGAACTCCTCAGAATGGACAAGCTCCACATGGCACTGACGGAACTGTGCTTCGCCCTCAACTACTGTAACATCATCACCGTGTGGGAACACGGCTTTGTGCCCAGAGAGTTCTTCCTTCAGCATCTAGAGACGAGATTCAACAAGTAAGTATAGACAAATGTTTAATAAAGATAAGTGTGATATGAGTCACTCTAGAATCCCAGTCTGTTTAGGCACCCAATGGGATGTGTCAAGATCCCAACACATTGAGGAATTGGTGGTCACAGTATCTGACCTTATCCATCCACCTTAGATCCTTTCTATCAGGCCAGAACGATGCACCTTCTTTCAGCAGAGTAGAACAACACACTCTCTCTCTTTTCTATCTATCTCTATCTATCTCTCTCTCTCTATCTATCTCTATCTATCTCTATCTATCTATCTATCTATCTCTATCTATCTATCTCTGTCTGTCTGTCTGTCTGTCTCTGTCTCTCTCTCTCTCACTCTCTCTCTGTCTGTCTCTCTCTCTCTCTCACTCACTCACTCACTCACTCACTCACTCCAAACCTGTACTGACAGACAAGCAAGTGGGTCCAAGTTTAGTTTATTGTAGACAAAGTTCTGTGATACTTGATGGATTTAAGTAGTCAGTAGCTGTCAAAGACACTAAGACATACTGAGAATGATATCAAGAGGCTCAGATACTTTTAGCAAAGACTGTTCATGTTAAATGTCGACAGTCAGCTGCAGTGAGTTTTAATATGCATAGTGTGTCTATGCACTTCCGATGTTTTGCAAACATAGTTGTGTTTGTCAAGAATAGATGATATTAAACAGACACATTGTGATAGTATTAAACACTGTTCGGATACAGGTGTAATTCAACAGGTAATCTCTTCAACGGATGAGTATAATGTATGTTAATCTCCTCAATCTCTGTAACCTTCAGGGCTCTGGTTGGGATGATGATGTACAACCCAGAGACCAGTGAGATCGCCAAACCCCTCGAGCTCCTGAACGGGCGTGTGGAGAGCCTACATGAACGTATCATCCAGAGTATAGAGAACTATGGTGAGGGAAGATACACACAGAAACAAACCTGTAGTACATGAAAAACCCGAACGATGAATTACTTTGTCTTTCAGTTTTGAAATTTAGCCTTTGCATCTGATCATTAATGCCCTATGCCCCTGTTCCAGAAAGGATTCAGAGTGTTACAGTGATTGTACCTGTCATACATGATTTTCTTACAATCAGCTTAGTGCTTAGATAGCTTTGTTTATTATTTAGCCGTGCTATGTTGTTCATGTGGCCTCCTGGGGCAGTGGGGTAGCCCAGTGGTCAGTCTAAGTAAACTTAGGCTCAGTATTATTCGCTACACTGCTATACTGAGTCTAACAAACCCTAGTTGAAGATCGGCGCCAGCTAACCTTTGAGTGACCTATGACCATCCAATCAAACATGAGAGGCGGATGAACGGATTTAACCAATCAGACAACGACTACTTGTTAGGGTTCAGCGGGACTTACAAAATGGTCTTTGGATTATCTCTTCCTGGTCGTTGACACTGATCTATCAGCAAATGAAAATCAGCATAAAACAGAGATAATAGACCTGCAGTATATAATGCTTAAGGGTCTCTAATGACATCGTTACTATTAGCTTATATTTCCGCTGCAAGATGACATCCTTGAATAGTGAGAAAACGCTATTTTCATCATATTACCGTATATGACCGTCTATAAGCCCGAATTTTGAGGACCAAAAAGCCGCCTGTAGAAGGGGGTCATCTTATCCATGAGTTACACTTTCGTCAAACTTTTCCAGGGGTAAAAACAACATCATATCACTAAGGCTGCGTGAACAAACAACAGAAGGCGACTTTGTCAGTAGAGACGTCAAATTTGCAATTAAACATCACTAGACAAGATTAATTACCATTTAAGTTATAAGTTGTTTTGCTGGGCATTGTTTTATTTGCAGGGATTAAGATTACGTCGCGATTTGTCTCTGCATACACAAAGCCGAAATAGCAATCAGCTGTGCACATCGCTTCCGGCGAACAAGTTCAAACATGCACAATAATATAACGGGACGAATTCTGACGCAGTCATCAGTAAAATATAATACAGAATACCGTTATTTAACCCAAAGAAATATATCCTAGCATTGTGTAATTTTAGTTACAGTTTTTGCTCTATAAATTAATTAAGATTACCGTGCGTATTTGTCTCGTACACAAAGCCGGAAATAGCAATCAGCTGTGCACACGTTTCCCCGTGAACAAGTTCAAACATGCACAATAATATAACGGGATGAATTCTATTGATTGAATACTATTATTTAACCCAAAGAAATATATCCTAGCATTGTGTAATAGTTTTTATGTAAAAAATATATAATCAACACTAAGGTTATCGTTATACGGACCATCATGAACGTGGTAAGCACGTGACATGGAACGAGGCGGTAATCAGTTTGTGATTGTTGAATGGGGTAAAATAAGCAAGCCAGTTTGTTGCTACAATAAATATGATATTTAGAGAAGCAAAATATATTATGCATTTTCTGTCAACTACACTTCGTTTCGATCCGTTGAGTAGACACAATATATATGACAGTGAATTCTTTGAATAATGTGGATCGACTTACAGTATGAGGGAGGACAGTGACACGGAATTTGAAGGGTTTACGACCCGATGACTTGTGAAAATCTCAGAACTCTCTTGCAGAAATGTCAGTGTTTATTGTTAGTGGACTATTTTTCTTATTGTCATATATATATAGATGAAATATGGACACTTAAATAATATATTTTGAAACAAAGTTGACTTCAGTTTTTATTTACCGATGGTACTTTTTCTCTCCATACTCACACCGATTTCAAGAAAATGGGCGTCCTCGTTGTTGATGCAAGCAGTGATCGTCCGGGATATAAAAGGAACACAAACACATGTTGCCACAATACACCGGTAATCTTTATTATGTAATATTCTCACCAACACTTCACGCTGTATATCCACTTTCCAAATGGCACTCGTTGTTAATGCATGCAAGCAGTGATCGTTAAAAAGGTAAACAAACACCGGTAATCTTTATTATGTAATATTCTCGTAATGGTGTCTCGATGCGTTGATGGAACATACTTACCAGGTACTCTGGTCTCTGTTGGTCGCGACCCATCGCGAGGGTCGACCTATCCATGAGAGATATGATTTTGACACTGATTTTGAGGGTCAAGTTTGGGGTCGGCTTATCCATGGGGGTTGAAGCATAGGACGGTCATATACGGTATGTTGACTCATTACGATCCCTCCATGTGTATCCTTTCGGAAGCGATTGTGTGGAAAATAGCATTCGAATCGCTTTGTTTTTAGGTAAAGGTTCAAACGGTATGTGTGATTATTATATGACTGGTAGATTTCCATCCCCTCTGATTGGCCCACTTGGTCACATGACAGCTTTGACGCTAAGCGATGTCAACCTTGCCACGCCAAGCGAGGGTTTATATAACAATCAAAGCACCTCCCCGTGGCTAAAAAGATTAAGGATATTCTTGATGTGAATTCTGCACTCGTGCATCACGCTAGATAAGGAAGCGATAGGCATCGCTTCGTCACTGTATGTCTGTGTTGGTTTAGAATTGGTGGCGACACAACACCACCACGGGAATACATGACTGTGTCAGAAGAGGAAATAAATCGTCATATAATATAACAATTATTTATGTCCGATTTGATTGATCCAATGATTTATTCAGCCTCAGTGAATATCACATGTCCAAGTTCGATGCCATGGTGAACATCACATGTCCAAGGTCGATAAATCATTGGATCAACCTCACTAGAAGTCAATAATTGTATAATGTTAACTTTCGCGATTTGGTAAGCTGTGTTCTGACTGGTCAGTCCAAAAGGTTAGCTGACGTGACCTTCTACTAGGGTTTGTTAGACTCAGTATATAGCAGCGTAACTTAGACTGGCCCAGTGGTTAAAGCGCTCACTCATCACACTGAAGACCTGAGTTTGATTCCCCAAATGGGTACAATGTGTGAAGCACATTTCTGCTTTCCCCTGCCCTGATTCTGATAGAATATGGCTAAATGCGGCGTAAAACTAAACTCACTCACTCTGATTGTGGGTTGATATTTGTCAAGTTCTCAAGGTCATTTGTCATGCATCACATTCACGTTTCGATCAGACATGAAATTACTGTGTTGAACTCACTGACTGAATGATGTCATTTCAGTTCATATCGATATTGCCCGAGTCTTCAACAACGTCCTCCCCCAGCAAACACAAGCCACCGACAGCACCGGAGAGAAGACTGTTACATCCAACTATACAAACTGGTAAAATCTGTCACAGTTTATGACTTTGTACAGTGCTTGCTGTATATCTCTCTTTGTGTTTGCAGCTCAGTATTTGAATTTAAGAAGGAAATGTAAGAATAATGTAGTGTTATGTTTAACGATTTCAATTGTGTCTAGATTTAAAAACCATAGAATTAGATTTTAAGCACACTATATTTTCAGATATTATATGAGTCTTATTCAAAGTAGTCTTAGACCGCCTCCGTGGTGTAGTGGTTAGAGCGTCTGCCCGGAGAGCGGAAGGTCGCAGGTTCGATCCCCGACTGCGTCATACCAAAAGACGTTAAGATATAGTACTTGTTGGTCCCTGCCTGGCGCTCGGCATTAATGGGTACAACAAGGACTGGTCAGCTCAGAGTCAGTATAATGTGTCTGAGTGGGGTATTCATGCTTCACTGCGGCATGGTATCTCAGTGGGCTAGCACTATAAAACCAGCTTAAGTCTGGGCTAGTACAAGCAGCCGCACATACCCATACACACGCATGCACGTCGTCATATGAGCGAAATAATCTCAGGTACGACGTAAAACCCAATTTCACCTCACCTCACCTTATTCAAAGTAGTCTTAGACCAAATTAAGTTTAATCCAAAACTTTCAGAACTGTGAGACATTTCATTTCATTGCTTTAATAAACCCTTTCAAGGCAACTGTTGACGAATGAGATTCCCAGAGATGTTAACCATTACAGTTTGACATAATTGTTATACCAGGGACACAGCCCAACATATTAAACATATAATATGAAACATGGATACAGCAACAAGGTTTCATTTACTAAAGGCATACATGACCTTCCAGGCGATAGGTACTTGGAGATAGTAAAAATGTCATAGATTTAAATCTAAGATTTAATATACTCGCCTTATATGCAGTTATGTAATTGTAGTGATATATGTCATAACCTCTTTGAGAGGCATGTAGAAGTTAGAGCAGTAAAGAAGGTTAGCAGTGTGGGGATGAGCAACTTCTTTATTACAGTGAGAGCAGAAGCTTCGGTGTAACGCTGTGATGTATATCATCTTTCTGTGCAGGTACCTGGAGGTGCTCCTGCGTCGTGTGACGATCAACATCGGTCAGATTGTCTACTCCCCCAGCCAGAAGGCATTCGTTAGCGTTTCCTCAGACGGAGGTGCGCCCTTTGCTGCGGAGGAATACGCTGATCTAACAGGTACAGGAACATTTTGAAAGATCTGGGTTAGAATTGATCTTTTGCGACCAATGCTTGTTGAGGGTGACAGAGGTTCGGATGGTCAGCCTTGGTTGACACATGTCGTTGTATCCCAGTGGCATATATCAGTGTTCATGATGTCGATCACTGGATTATATGGTGCAGACTTTATTACCAATATTGGTAATGCTAAACAGTAAACTAAGAAACAAAGCATAGATCAGTGTTCATGATGTCGATCACTGGATTGTATGATGCAGACTGTATTACTAACAGCTGAAATATTGGTAATGCTAAACAGTAAACTAAGAAACAAAGCATAGATCAATGTTCATGAGGTCAGTCATGGGATTGTCGTATTGTTGGAATATTGCCGAGTGTGGCATAATAAATAAATAAAAGTATCACTGTATCAGACAACAGGCTCCAGACAGGTCTGCTCATGCAGAGAAGTCGGTCTAGATGAGATTTGTCCAGGGATTGGTCTCAACATGCAAATGGTGCCACCAGATTCATTAAACAAGGTTTTATGCAATGTTCAAATGTGCATCCAGTATGTACAAATGTAGAGAATGCACACAGAGAAAAAATTCTCTGCATTCAGAGGGATGCACAATATTATTCATTGTACCCACAAAACATGTATGACTTTGCTAAGTATCTGGTTGTTTCTTACAGAGCAGTTACGTGCATCATTTCATCCACCAGTCTGCATGATCAACGATTCATTGTAGACTCTAAAACTTAAATCAATCATTAAATCAAAATATGCAGTTCCCCACACCTTTACTTCACACGACCCTCATATTGCCTGCAAGGACCCTTAAAACTAATAATAATGGAGGTCCCCGGTCCCCGATATTCCAGCCCCATGTTTGTGAGTTGAGGTAAAATCCTGTTCATCATCTTATACACTTTTGTGATTATTATGTGACTTTATATTTCAGAGCTGCGAACGCTGGCGGAACTGATTGGTCCATACGGGATGAAGTACATGGGGGAGAGACTGATGCTGAACATCGCCAGCCAGGTGGACGAACTCAAGGTAACACCTAATATGGCACTGACTGTCCACTTGATACCTCCTTCATCTTGTATACCACACAATGGGGATACCTATGCCTCTTAGAGCTTTGGGGAACAAGCTCATTGGTGTACAAGCCATTGGTGATGCTTATTTCCTTCATCTTGTATACCAGTTGCCTCTTAGATGGGAACAAGCTCATTGGTGTATTAACCAGTTGGTGATGCTTCTCTTCCTTCATCTTGTATACCACCCAATGGGGATATCTATGCATCTTGCTTGTGAGCATAATGGGAATCCAATTTCATTAATATATAGTAACCAGTTGGTGATTCTTTATTCATCTTCTGTACCACTCTGTGTGAATAGATATACCCCAAGCTTGTGTGGAAAGCAGACAAAAATAGTGCCAAGCTTCATGGCCTATTAACCCACTGTGATACTTTTCTTTTGTGGGGTAGTGGTCAAAGCGTTCGCTCGTCACGCTGAAGACCCGGGTTCAATTCCCCAAATGGGTACGATGTGTGAAGCCCATTTCTGGTGTCCCCCACTGTGATATTGCTGGAATATTGCTAGAAGTGGCGTAAAACCCAACTCACTCACTCACTGTTCTGGTTGTTCCTTGTCCTCTGTCAATAGATAACTGATGGAATATTGTTTTACACTTCTTGTATCAACATTCCAGCAATGTCACCGTACAGACCCTGAGGAATGGGCTTCACACATTATGCCCACTGTTAGTAAATGTTGCTTTAGACTGTCGTTGAACTATATGGTGACGAGACTTTATTTTGTTTACTACCCGTAAAGATTTGGGTTAGAATTGGTTTTCAGCAATCCATGCTTGGTCAGGTGGTCAGGCCCGCTGATTTTGTTGACACGTGTCATCGTATCCAAATTGCATAGATCAATGCTTATGCTGGTGATCACTGGATTGTCTGGTCCAGACTCAATTATTTACAGACCGCCACCATATAGCTGGAATATTGCTGAGTGGCGTTAAACAACAACCAAACCAACTATTTTGTGTTAACATCAGTTCTGAACATTGAATTGTTCCCCTTGCCCCGTGTTGCAGAAACTTGTAATTATCAACAAGGATGTGCTGAACAAGCTCCGGACCAGCTTTGATAATCCTGATACGATGAGAGAACTGTCCCGGAAGCTACAAAGTAAGTCTTAGACCTGCGACCTTGTAACATTCCAATATGGATACCCCTATGCACCTCCAGTGTAAATAAGCACTTGTGATGAATATGTTTATCTAGTAATATAAACTGATATATTTGTACACTGAATATAGCATTCGTAACTACTCGTCCCTTTCCGTAACCTGAAAGTAGACTGGTAGCCATGTCCGGAGAAATATTCCCCAAGCCAATCAGAATGCGGTATGTAGAGAAGAAATTGGGTAAAAATAGTTAGTTGAAATAAGCTTCATTTCGGCTTGCATAATTTTTCCCAGACACTTCAAGTATATTTTAATTATTGCATAGTCCTCCTGGGTTTCCTGAAGTTTTATAACCAGGATATATGACCATTATTAAGGTAGGAAAGTATTTAAGCATGTTAAACACACCCTTTGAGGTAATTTCCTTGGCGTGGATGCCATGTTTGTTTTCCAAGTAAACTAGAGTTACATGCCCTTGAAAATAGTTCGGTGACTAGACTCTTTCTCTCTGTGCTTTTGCCCTCAGACAGAGTCAAGTTCAGTAAAATGGCTACTTAGATGGGTAAGAGTCTTCTTTCAGGTTACGGAAAGGGACGAGTAGTTACGATTGTGAATGTAGTTGTGGCATACAGAGTTACATCCCTTTATGTGAAAAACTGCTTCCAGTTTGTGTCATTGACTCTATAGGCAGTTCACAGATTCAGATCGGTGAACAATAATAAATTGAACATTGGCCTTTTCTTTCTGAGCTACTCTGGAAAATACCAGTTTTCCCTGACCACTTGATGCAATAAGTTTTTTGACAACAAAAGAAAAACATCCTGTTTTTGCTTCTTGTATTGGATCATGAATGATCAGAATTAATCCCCGGTTTGCTGAACGCTGTATATAGGTCTCTGATGCAACTCCAACTTCATGATCTTGATACTGGCTTAATTGCTGCACAGGGCTACAGATTGTCCCATCATATATAACTGATTCCAACATCCAAATCTGCAGCACAGTCCATATGCTCCAACAAAAGACATGCTGTGATTCTCTTGCCAAGACACTTGCCTTCAAATAGAAGTATATATAATCAACAAAGTACATGCTTTGACTCAAATCCCAAGACACTTGACTTCTTTATAAAGAATGTACAGCTTTAAAGATATTAAGCATTTGCTTGTCGATTTGGAAACTAGACCAGTAAATATTTTGATCTACTAACTCTCATGTTGAATCCAATCTGATAATTAACTAAAGAGTTGTTTTAAGTTGGTTGAAAGTATGTGTTTTAGGAAGAAAATTATGGTGCAAATTTTGAGATTATGTTTCATGTACACTGCATCAGTGTTGCTAAAGTAGTATGTTATAAATAAAACATCCATGAGGAAAAGACAATTAAACAGCCTCAAGCTTTCTGTAGCAGCAGAACAGTATCAAAATCATTTCTAGGGAGCAGGACAGAGACACAGATACCGCAGTTATTATAAAGGTGCAACATATATACAGGGTGTCACGTATATTCTGTGTTGAAGATTATGATGTCGGTCACAAATGTGCGCAAGTCATGTTCTGAGTAGATGTGTCACGGCAGTCTGTATGTTGCCATGGTGACAGCTGCAGGTGCTCACAGTGTAATGATGAGGGTGATTGACAGATATGCAATATACTGAGGGTCACAATATGTTTTACGCCATGATACTAATATAGCTGTGGGTGCCTAGTGTGTTAAAGCGCTATTCGAGACTATCTGGTTCGATTCCCCACATGGGCACAATGTGTTAAGCCTATTTCTGGTGTCCCCAATATTGCTGGAATATTGCTAAAAGCGGCGAAAACTAAACTCAGTCAGTCAGTCATGATACTAATATAATAATGCAAATTCTTTTCTCATATTTTCGGATCAATACACAATAAGCGCAAGGCAAAATATTTTTAAAATGTCATTTTTTTAAATTACAAAAAGTATTGATGGTATTAGATTCAACCGAAATACAAACAAACATCTTTGAAATATGCATAAGTTGAGATACATTATTTCTTCTTTTTGTTTCACTTTTCAAAATGTATGATAACAATCCTCTCTTCTCAATCAGTGATGGGTCCATAAAAGAGACGATGAGCAATATGCTGGGAGTCTAGACCATCACAAATGAATATTTGGCCATAAGTCTGCAGTTAATCTCTGTGAAAATTCCCAACAGAAATTAGAAATTTATAAATTCATTTGAATGAAACATGTTGGAGGAAGAATTCAGCGTTGTGTTTTGCTTTAAGTTTATATCTATTTACACTAATGTCTAAAGTCATGGTATGTAGAGTTAACCTGTATTTCACTGTTGACACAACCAATATAAAAACATGTCTTAATTCATAGTTGAATGCAGTTGCAAAATACAGTGTTAAAATACATCGAAGATAAGAATATTAAACATTTTTATCCATTCACCATGTCAAATGGTTGTATATAATACACACTTGAAAATGATACATCACACACTGTGTTGTAATGATGAGTATTTTGATGAATCCTCATGTAACCGTGACAACGGGTAACGTTAGACGTCAAGTTGACCTGTAGAGCTGTTCCACTTTCAGGACATAATGCTGGTAATTACACCCTACTGCCTGAAGATACACGTGGTTTTCCTCTCTGTATCCATCTTCATGTAAACTGCCACCTTCCGCAACATGGAGCACAGGGGCACCTGTCTTTCAATGTTACTACATTTGATATAAATTGTCTCATTAATAATCTGGGCATTTACAGAACTAAATTCTTCAACATGATTCAAAAGCCAGTATTTAGTATTATGTCTGTAATTAAGATACAGAAATATTTTCAAATATACTCAACAGAAAAAGTTCAGGACCATCCCAATTTTTTCAGTATAAAAGTATTTAATAGTTTGTTATGATCCAATTAATGATTAAAAATTGAATATTGGGGGTGGTCCTAACATTATTTGTTGAGTATATATATTTTTCCTTATCCTGACTCATGATCTTATGGTCGAGGAGAGAGTGACAAGTATGGGCACGTCACATGATATGTTTGCACGGGAAAGGGCAAGGGAGGTAACTCGTGGGTGAGTGTATTTATACGTCCGTTTCGGGAACTTCAAGGGATTCAAGTGTTCAACTACCATTCGAAAAGGAAAGGGAGATAAGCAAAAGATCATGAGTCAGGATAAGTATAAAATATCAATTTTACTTAAAAAATTATATGTTTATGAAACAGTCAGACATTGTTTATCAGGACACTTGCATTTTCTCAAACATTGTCCGGATAAATAGTTTCTGAACTTTAACTCTAAATTTTCTGATACAAATTTTTACCCAAAATTTATTTTACCAAATATTGTTTTCAAAACTGGCAATGTTCTAAAAGAATTTAGACAAATTTTTAATGATTTAAAAATAGACATGTAGAAGAAAAGATTCCGAGAGGGAAGCCACATGCTTACCCCCACAAATTAACGAATTTACTGATGACGAGGTGTGTTAGAAGTAACATCTGTAGATGACTGTGTTGTCAGTGACTGATGTGTGACTTGCCTTTCTTGCATCATGTAGAGACCAAGCCCGTATCAAGTAAGGCTGTGTCATTAATATGTCCTCTGTTGCTTCACTGGCAGTGATGAACGTAATAGTAAACACATTCTTACCCACTTCGCCATAGGTGAACATTGGGAGACATTATTGTAGAACTCCGACAAGCTGGGTTTGTAATGAAAGAAGCAGTCTGTGCCCAAACCCTTCCAGTCCACAAGCCCCAACTTGAATCTTAGCATCAATTTCGGTACATTTTAATCTTATTATATGTCATTCATTTGCAAATTTAACTTGACTGAACAGAATTTTACTTGACTTGGGCTACAGACAAGTGGTTTGAGTGAAAGACTGACAAGAAATTACATAGGGTTTATCTAAAGTAAAAGAGTTTTGTCTGTGTCATTGCATATTTTTGTCAAGGACTACTTTGTGATTTCTTATTTGTAACACCCAATCGGAGGTATCTCATTTCAATTTTAAAATATTCTTGTATAATCATACAATGTTCTTTAGGTTAAAACTTCAACATGACCCATTACTGTTAATCATCTGATTTCAATAATGAAACCAGATTTGTTTATTTCATTTGTGTCAATGACGTCTGACCCTGAGGATCGTAGTTAATGTCCCAGTTTCCTGATTCAGCTAGAATACTATTTGAAAAACAAAACCTTCTCTCCCCCAAAACATGTTTAATAAACCCAATGAAAGTAATACAAAGCACTGCCACTGAAGCTTGCATTATTTTGTCAGTTTTGTCCAATTTGTAGTCATGACAACAGAAAGGTTGTTCAGTCACACCAAGAGGCAGGACGTGCTCATCAGTCGCTCTCTCGGAGAAACTGGTGAAGACTTGAGCATGTTCACTGCCTCAGCTGTAGTGACTGGTCAACTCGGAGAGAAGCAAACAAAATAGCATCATGTTTGGATTAAATCTGTCAGTAATGGAAGCTCACTTTCAATAATATTGGATTATTTGGTCATTTGAAAATCAGTGTTTATGTTTTCTAAATTTGATATTTCAAATGTGTTTTGAATTTACCACAACTTTCATGTCTTCTCTTTCCTACCTTTTTCTTTGTTATGTTTTCTACACTCTTGTGTTTGTGTATGTGTCCTCTGTTATCTTGATATAAGCCCTGAGCTAATAATTAGGGTAAATAATTAAAGGCTAAAAATGGAGATGATAAGAATGCAGGCCAAATTGCTTGCTACCTTTTCATTCAAAGTTCTATTCAAGGACATTCAGTCCAGAACCCAATTCCAAGTCAGTTTACCGATGGTAGCTTTGATTTGTCTCCCTTTGGTATTTGTCCAGCTCTGTGATGCAGGATTGTCTCCCTTAGCCTTCACAGGATCCTAACTTGATCAGTTGTAGACCAGCATCATATATCTGGTCTGTTAACAAGTATGACATAAAACAACCAATGAATTAATGATTCTCGATGAGATTCAAACGCTTTGTTGGCAAATGGGACCATGGTATCTTTCCATAATATACTGAGGGAAACAAATAAGGAACACAACTTCATTGCACTTTTCCTTTATTTAGTATCAGATTTTCACCCACAGAAACCTGGAGAAAAATAAAGGAAGACTTGTTCTTTCTTGTGTTGCCTTATTTGTTTCTGTCAGTATATAATGGAGATATAGTGAGTGTGTCCATTACATACTGTGGGCTTATATCCGAGATTATATCTGGCACTGTCTGGTCTCTAATTGTCTGTATTTGTTCAGTCTGTATAGTCGACTTTGATTATAACAGATTTATGTCTCACCAACTCTTTTATCTCCATTAGATTAGACCTGTTATTACAGTGAAACCTTATTAATCTGGACAAAACAATTCCCAGTCTCATTGCAGAGATAGATCTCGACCTGCTCTCATGTCAATATTAATGCTGTGTAATGAGAATGAATATTTTTATTCATGCAATATAATTATGATTAATGTGAGGTCTTACTGGAGGTGCCTAGTATTTCACTGACAATATGAAAGAGAAGCTTGCTTTTACTTTTTTGTATTGAGGGCATTTTACTAAAGAAAACAGGAACTGCCAAAATCATGATTTTCTGCATTCATTAAAAAGAATATATGCATTTTCTCTTAAACTGACTGACAAGGGCACTTCATTTGGAATCCAAGACAAACATCTGCATCAAGGTTCTTGAATAACAAATATAAATTACATAATATTTCCCTTTGTGACTGATATTAACCATCCAGAACTGTTTGGTAGTATGGTGTATAGAGGATCTGGGTTAATGAGGTTTCACTGTGAGCAGGTTAATGGCATGTGAGACACATAGAACAGCAAAGCTATTATAAAGCTCCTTAGACTGGTGTTATAGTCTGTAGTGACTTGCTACATCAAAAATAATTGCACTCTCCATGTTCACCCTGCTGTCTCATCTATTTCTTGTCTTTTCCTATGACCATTTTGTATTCTTTTTTCAACTCTTTTCCTCTTTTCCTATCACAACTCTTAAAAATCCAACTCACATAAAATCTCACTTCTCACTCACCTGACAATTCTCTCATATCTCACCCAACTTCTCACTCTCTTAGTTACTCTTCACCAACTCCTCACTCATTTACTCACTCACTCACTCACTCACTCTGTCGATTCATTCTTCCTTTATTTCTCTCAATTTTATTTTCTCTCTTCTTTCCTTGTGTCATCCTTTGTTTGAAAAATTTGCCCCCAAACTTATGAGAATTTATAAATCCCTACCAACCAAGACCCCACGCTTGTTTGCTTCCATGATTCTGCTGTTGTCTTCTATATCTTCATCTCCATCACATCACATTTTGCTTTCTCTCCAAGCGGCCACATAAGAACGCCGAGTGGTAAGTCCAACTGGTTACGCAGCAACAAGCCGCTTTGTCATTTGTTTGGTGATTTTGATTTTTCACCGCAAACCATCCTTCCTGCCTTGTTTATAATGTGCATATTTAAGTTTTCCTTTGTTTTCTGTTTGGTATTGTATGTTATCTCATTGAGGGGCTATTGTCAAACCACCAGGTTAGATAGCAGGTGGAAATAACTTTAAACTTTGCTAGGTGTACTCCGGTACAGTGGCACATAAAAAATCACTCTTTGCCCTGATAATTTTCCCCTATACCAGTGTAGGAAAGATGTAGATAATCTTTAGCCTGTCCACAGGACTGGCAGGTCAAATTTTTACCAGTCCTGCCAAAATCTAGCCTGTCCCTCCAAATATAAATAAAACACCTTCGCAGTAAATATTCAAAAGGTTATAATCATTATATATATGTCATTGGCTTCCATAAAATTGGACCACATGAGGACGGACTAGATATTTTAACCCGCCCTCCACAAAATTCACCCTCGGACGCTTGGGATCGGCTATCTTTCCTACACTGCCTATACCGTCAGTTTTGGTTGAATTTTAAAATAAACAACATAATTAATATTGAAAGTCAACTGACACCGCACAGTGTGATATACAAATTTGCTTGCCCTCGACAGAAAAACACTGACTTGGGCCAGGCAAATGGGTTATTTCCACTCTGGATAGTACCACATTTCCAAGAGCTCAAATATTCTTTAAGGGAATCCTTTAGCTGCTATGTGTGTTCTGTAAAATGTAAAACAGCTGGTACCAGGCTGTAGCAATTCAAGGATCGGTCTTTTCTTACTTCTTTCATATAACTAGTTAAACATACTATCACAAAATATCTTCATCTTGTAAAATATAGTAGGAAACGTGCTTGTGGCAGCTCAAACAAGTGGCCCCAAAACCAAGAATTTGGGATAAGAAAATCTTTCCTGGCGTTAATATTCCGCCCTTCCCCTTCCCGCCGATCCGCGCGGATCCATGCCGTTCGAAAGAAACTTCATTATAATAATTTATATACGTATCCGTTCGTTCCATACGTTCTGGTTCCACATAAAGCGTCGGTATGTTCTTATTCCTCTGCCGGCCCCATCAACGATGTCCTGTTTTGATATGCCCGTCCATTCCAGAATCTCTACGTTCTTGAGGATGTTCCGTCCTGTTCCTATGTTCATAACGCGTTTCAGATGTTCGTCCCGGTTTACGTCTGATGTTCTGTTCCCGCAACCTTTCCCTTCCAGAATTCAATTATTAATGATTTGCCGATGCATATCTTTATCAAAAACCATTTGTAATTGGTAATATTTTAACCGTATATGTATCTGCTCGCTGTGGCGGTATATCCGTTATTAACCGGTTTCAATATTAGTGAGTCATGAACAAGTAAGTGTTTATATTTGTGTCAGAAAATAATTAGAAAGTGAATATTCTATTTTCGCATGTTTGACTGTTGTAATAATATGATGTTTTTGAACTGGTTTAAACCTCATCTTGAAATTGTGCTACATCCTCATGACTAATGTAAACCATTTTGCATGAACTTTGCGCCGTCCATTCATGTCAGTGCCATGTCTGTCCTTGGAACATTGACACCTTTCAGTTACATTATTTAGTTGCGCTTATTCTCCCTTGATGTAAAAAAGTACTTTAACTTATTTTAAAGGGCGCGTATTAAATATTAATGCATAGAAAATTGTTTCCTTCAAATTACCTCGGTTGTTTCAAATGAAACATCCAAATGAGACCTTCCTTTTTAATGTCAGTATAAACATACACTATATATATCAAATTGTCTCTATGAATTCAAGCAGTTAATTGTCTGTATGTTATATCAAACTGATTTTAAACCAATGTCAATTTTTAAGGTGCCTGGACTTTCTTGGTGCTAGGTAGTTGTCCTGCCAATAGCATATTTTCAAAAAATGTT